ACCAGCAGCTTTCTCCGCTTAAATGAATTGGCCACTCGCGCTTTTAACCATGAGAAGGCGACAAGCGCTATCTTCCTTGACGTTGAAAAGATATGTGATCAAGTTTGGCATGAAGGTTAGCCGCACAAACTGCCTTCGTTATCCGTCCTTCATGGTCTTTGTAACGTGCTGAAATCATACCTGAATGGTTGCGTTTTTAGCGTGAGCGTGGAAAATACACCCTCGCCGCTTCGATGTCTGACAGCTTCCTCAGGTTGTCCCTTTTATTTGCATATAACATGAGCGACGTGCCCTTGCCGTCCGCTCCACGCACACGTATCGCCCTCTACGCTGATGATACGGCCCGTATATTCCTTTTCGAAGTCTCCTGCCTTGCTACGCAAGCATCTACAGCGCTACCTGGACGCGCTTGCTGTCTGCTGCCGTGATTGGAAGGTTACTATAAATGCGATGAAAAGCAAAGCTGTATTAATTTCAAAGAAACGCGTCCCTTTATGTGCCCTTAACCTTTAAAGGCGTGAAGATTCCATGGTATCCTCAAGCGAAATACTTTGGGGGTTATCATGGACAAAAAGTTTCCCTGGCGACCTCACGTGGACTATGTAGTGGCGAAGGTCAAGATAGCGACCAAGGCTCTTCGTTTTCTACTTTGCTGCAAGAGTAAGCTTTCTCTGCGAAACAAACGACAGTTGTATTTGTCCTACATCAAGCCAATGACATACGCTTCTGCTGCTTGGACCTTCGACTACACTGCGATAGCGTCGGCACTTCAAGTGCGACAGAGCAAATTACTGCAGTTTCTAACAGAGGCCGTGGTTTGTGCAACGTGATGCTCTTCACCGGGGCCTTCAGCTGGGCCCTTCGCCTGCTAGTGAGGGAACTTATTTACGAGCATGGGACGAAGCACGTTTTCGCCACCCACGTGACGCTCTTAAGAGCTTTTTTTTTGGTTAATGTACTAAAATTAATGCTAATTGTAATATATCTGCGATCACTCCTGAATGAGAGCTCGAGTATTCGAAGTTTTTAACTCGGTCGAGCACCAGGAACAGTCAATAATTAAGTGAATAAATAAATATAGGAGTGGGCCTACTCTGTTACTTTTTATGTATATAAAGGTATATATCAAGAAAGGTTTTTTTTACTTTACTTTTATCATTTTTAATAGAAGTTTATCAAAAGTTCACTGTTTAAAGGGTAAAAATTTAACGTCTACGTTGACAAAAAAATAAAATTGTTAGCAACGATATGGTAGTCTGCGTTCAGGTTTCTTGGGAATATTTACAGGTCTTTAGTAATTAGAAAAATTTTTACATTGTAGCGTACAATTTAAACGTAGTAATTTCGTATTATAACTGGTTTAATTATAAAATAAATCTTATTAATATCTTACAATAATGGTCAACTTTCAAATATAGCGTTATATCTATTTATAATTTTTATAAACATTAAATACTTTGTACAAAATTCACCTTTGTAGTCTTGTTACTTTTATTATTTATTTAATAGTATTGTTAATAATTCTGATTTTCAAAAATATTGTACACTTTAGCCGCTTTACACTGTAGCGCGTTTCAATTTAAAGTTACAGTTATTATAATTGTACTAAGTCAGCTTTAGCAGATTCTTTCTAGTTTACTTTCTGCTTGAGAATATTTATCTTCTGTAAATCGAAATTTCTTAAAGGGAATTATTGTCTCTTTTAGTTATAAGCATCACGAAGTTGGGTTTTTTGTTAAAGTGTAGTTGAAAAGACTGTCATTTTCAGTTCTTAAAGATTTAAAATAAATTCATCCCTATAAAAAGGAATTTGAGCTATGAGACATTTTTATTAGCAATTATAACAGTTAATGTTTTTAAAAATAAATTTAAAAAATAACAATTCGGTTGCTAAAGTTTTGATCATACTCGGTAAAACTACATCCCCTATCTTTATTTTAATTATTTTGATAGTTTGGTATGTGTGTTGGCCTAACAGTATATATAAAAGTCCAGCGGATTAAATTTTTGCAGTGTTTGGGTCAATATAAAAAATATATATATGCCAAAAAAGATATAAAATCTTTAAGAGTATAGGCTATACAGAGAATCTTAAACTAGGCAGTATTGAATTCGTACAAATAACTTGCTGTGGAGTGAAAGGAAAAGTATTACAACAAAGGTGACAGGAATTTTTATATATATATCGCATATAAAAAACAAGTAACCATAGTACGACCGTTTGCAATATTTTTACCAAGTCTCTGAAATATTAATTAAAGTATCAGGTAATCGGGTTTATAGTTTAGTTCTGCTTTCGAGTTAAATAATAATGGTTAAAAGAAAATAAATTTCTTTACCGTAACTGCTTCTTTCAGCGCTTAAAATTTGTTTTTAAAAGTGAATAAGTGCAAAATGTTATTACTAAATTTTATGTATTTATTTTTAATTGATTTATTAGAGTACAATCTTATTTATCGTTCTTATAATTATTGATTAACCACACTTAGGGAAAAAAGGGAGCCGCGCGAGATTTTAAATATACTGGATACGAACACTATTTGCCTCTACAGAAAATTCGTGGGTTGCTAAGCCACTATACTACTATACTAACAACACTAATATAACCTTCTACAACCCCCTATAAAACAGTACTAGTTTACATGTCTTATTTGTTATTTAGGCCAAAGTACAACTAGCTTGGTTTAAGAGCTACAATAGCGACTTTGGAAATGAACAATTAAGGTTAGTCATCACTCATCATAAGACTCGGACATGCCCCCTGCGTTGAATCTTTGCTACTTGCATTAAAGGTTACCAAAAGTATATAACTTAGTTACCATCACCGGTCATAGCATGAACGGGCCCGAGAGATCTCCCTTATTTACGTTAAAGAAAAAATAATACAGGAGGCGGTGCTCAGCATATTACGCGCTAGCTTCGAGATAATAAAGTGGAAAAATAGCGAGCCTATCGTGTGTTTACTATCTTCAAAGCTACAAAGGCGGGTTACTTAAGATATACGAGTCTAATCAGTGCATAGGTACGAAGGATTGAGTTCAAGGTGTGATACTAATGGTAACGTACGCCTCAGAACACAAGGACTTTAGCGCTCGCCTAAGTACCTAAGTTAGTCGAAATATTATTATTATTAAGAACAGACCTTTTGACCCGGGCGTAAGGCAACCTTTAGCTTAAAGGTATCAAACCTTCAAGGATTTCAAATCAGCTCCCTATATTTCATGATGCGAAATGCATATGTGACCTACTGCTTACTGAATACTTAGACTAGTGAGAGGTACGCGTCAGCAACCTTTTAAGGATACATAGTTAAGCGGTAAGGTATTGGGCTATGCATGGTAGCACTTGGCCTTTTTTGGTGCCTTAGACTCTTGGCTTCAACCTTGTAAGCCTTTGTGCTCAGAAGTACATGCTTCATGAAAGTAAAGCTTGCTTTATGTCCCCAGGTGCTTGTCATAAAGCGCACGAAATAAATCTTGCCTTTATTATAGTAAGCGGTTTCTCGTGGGTTACCCTCTAAGACTGGCCATAGTTTGCCATCTGGAGGCGGAATAGCCTACAAATGTACGTTTATCTTCATCGTCATGCCATCCTCTACTCTTCGGAGGTGTCACTGCACTCTTTTCTTGGGTCGCTCTCTTCAATTTAATATTCATTCTTATCACGATATGATTGGCATATGATTTGATGCTTGAAAGAACTTTTAACCATATAAGCCAATGAATTTGGTTATAGCGCCTTCCTGCATGAAGCTCTAAGTTCAGGGTTGTGCGCTACTTCAGAGAGTTTTGTAACCTTATGACTCGTATTGAAAGAAATGCTTTTACAAAAGGTAAAAACCCGAGGTTGACTTGAGTTCTTAGGTAGGAACTCTTAGAGCACGCGTTGATTGTCTTTAGTATTCGTAATGATACCTTTATGCTCATTAACGCAACTCGTTTGATCCCAGTGATTGGCTTTTGTACTGTTTTGACTATCGAAGTGAAAGTCCAAATAACTTTGACCTTCCTTAGGGCGACGCTTGCGTGTAGTATACTGACATTGTCTCTATTTACTCATAACTAGCTGCAGAAGAGCCTGTGGAGCCTTTCGTGAAACACTGGCGAAACTTGCTAAGTTAATGGGGTTAGCTGTTGTCCCGTGCGAGTAGCAACGATTAAGAGCAGATGAGTAATGTTAATAGCACTGAGTCATTTTACCAGCTTACTTGGAACTGAGCGATATGTTGAGTACCGTAATTGTAATACTATGGTTTAATATATAAAGGGTATTGAGCCGCGCTAATGCTGATGTGCTAGTAATATAGTAATGGCCTAGCTACTCACAAAGTTGCTATCCTACCAAAAACTGTTATTATCCAGTATTACAAAAATATATTCGTGTACTGTTTAGGGCCCTTTAAAGAAAATAAAAAACCTGATCACAACTACTATTTAAAATATTTATAATATAAAGGCGCTAATTCTGGGGGACAGATTGTAATATATAGTAAAGAAATTTGAAATTCATAGATTTACTGAAAGTTTTTTTTTTATATACAAAAAAGATAAGCTTTAGTTACACAGTTTTCCTTATAACTTATTGCGATTCTTTATAATAAAGTACAATATCTTGCCAGAAAATTACTAAATAAAAATTGAAAGGAAGCAAAGCTGGCTTTATTAATGGCAAGTATATAATAATAAAATATGGTTACGCCTCTTTTTTTATTATTAAAAAGCACTCTCACACGAACGATATTAACTGAAAATTAAAATTTATATGGCCTGTATAATTATTAACATTTTAGTATTAACTGTGTTAACATATATGATTGTTTTACAAAAAAAATTTTTATTAAAAAAATATTTAATTAATTTTAAAACTTATAATATAAAAAGCTACTAATAAGTTCAATAACTAGTAACGATATGAATAAATATAAAATATTAGTCTTGACGCAAGCAGGACGTAAATAAAAGGGGATGCCCGTTATCTTGAAACTAATTAAGTTGGCGGTAGTTTTCTAGTTAATACTGGCGTGTTCACTTTGTAGGCTTAGAAGCTTTTTTATATATAATAGTAATTTTTTTAAAAATAAGGTAGAGCTGTATAAAATTTTATTATTATTTATTTATTTTCTGAACTTTTTTAAATTTTTTATTGTAATTAAAACTAACCTTATGTATGTATTTATTTCATGATAACAACTTTCTAAAGAACAGAGTAGAGCTGTGTATAGTTAATTATTGATTAATTATTTTTAAATTCGTCTTCAATTAATGTATGGTGATTAGAAGGAATCAACTTATTTTTGTATTATATATAATAAATTATTAATAACAAAGTAAAGTTGTGTATATCTTGAATTTTTACTATTTTTTTGAACTCAATTAATTTATGCTTTGTGAATAAGACGAAATCAACTTATATTTATTTATTATATAAAAATAACCTTTTAAAGGACAATAGAGTTATGTGATTTTCTATTATTGATTATTTATTTATATTTTTTACTATACTTTAACTTTTTTTTTATTAATTATTTTTAGTGTTTACTAATTAATTTTTAAATTTACTATTTTTTAAATCTTGTGACCTTTTATATTTATTAACACTTGATAATTAAATGATTTAATAATTAAAAAATGGTTATATATAAGATTTAGCTAATTTTTAAGAGCATTATTCCTTAATTTACTTCTCATTTTATACAGAAAAGAATATGAAGTCTAACTCTCAGCAAGTAAAAGTTTTTCTCCGTTGTAGGTCTCTTTGCAATATTTTAAGATTTTATTTTTTTAAAGTATTTATATTAATAAAAAGTCGACATTTAATATTTATTTAGAAATTTAGTGTTTACGATTTTAAAATTAATAAACGTTTTTTTTGACTTTTTTGTACTTCATTTAATGGTAGAAAATTACTATTATAGTAGTAAATACGAAATATGCAAATTAGATAACTAAAACATATATTTTAACTTAATATAAAGTCTTCATATTAACTTATTTGTAAAAAATAAGCAGACCCTAAATTTAAAAAAATTAAAAAATAAATGATTATTTTTAAAGATTAAACTTTTCGTTTAATATAAAACTATAGCTATGGAAATATAACTTTTCAAAACAATAAGTATATAAATTTATAAATATAATTTTGAGGTAAATATTAATAAAAAAAAGATGAATTCTTTTTGAACTTATACTTAATGTTACTATTATCTATTTTTACGTGTATTTGATTTTTTAGTTTTTTTCAAAGATAAAATTTATCCCGAAGTTAAAGATTTGATGGATAATTTTATATTTATTTATTTATTTATTTTAATTAATAAAATAAACATTTTTATAATTTTAAAGGCCACCACTAAAACGCGAGCTTTCTTCGGGCCAATATCGAAGCGTTGTTAGCTGTAATGTGGTAATTTTTTTATAACTTGAGATTTTATTTTTTGTTAATAATTAATTTGTATAAAGTAATCTTTTTTATAAATTAAAACTTTTCCTATATAAACCCTTTATAAAATAATTTATTATTAATTTATTGTTTTAGTAATCTATTTTTTGTTCTTAGGAATTAGAAATAAATTTTTTCAAAAAAAAATAATTAATCTTTATGAATTTAATTTTTTTTTGGTCGGCCAAATTTATAACTTTACTTAAATAATTTATTTGTTTTTTAATCTTAAGAATATTTTTTATAATTTATTTACTGGCATTTTGCCTTATTAAGTTTATCGAAGAGAATTTCTAAAATAAAATTTAAATATTGTAAAGTTTTTATTAAATTTTTAAAGTATTTCATAAGATTTTTTTGAAAATAATAGTTAATGTATAATATTTTATTAACAAAAGAAATATTTTTGTTGAAAATTGAACTTCGATAGAACTTTTAATTTATCAAAATATTTTTAATATTTTTAGCTTTTTTAAAAAAAGCCAACTTGTTAATTTTTATTTACTTTACTTTGACAAACTTTAAATAGAGTCGAACTTTTTTTAAAAAATTTAACTTTTTATAGTTTTCTTGGAAAAAAATACAAAATTAAATTTATATTTTCTAGAAAAGTTTTTAGTTGTTTTTACTTAAATAAATTAAAATTATATGAAAACTTTTAACTTTTTTTAATATTTTGTTAGGAAAATGAAATAAAAAAATTATATTTGTTTAGAGAAGTTTTAGCTTTTTACTTAAATAAACGTCAAGTATATGTAAAAATTTATTCTTTTTTAATACTTTTTTATGAAAAGAATAAAATGTAAATTTCTATTTATATAAAAAATTCTAGTTTTCTTATTTGCATAAACTTAACATAAGAAAACATTTTATATTTTATAGAAAAGTTTTTGGTTTCTTTTTTTACTTAAATGAAAATTTCAGTTATAATTATTTATTAAAAAGTTTTTAGTTTTTTTAATTGAATAAATTTTTTATATATATAAGCACATTTTCATTTATAAACTTTTTATATATTTTTTAAAGAATGAAAAATATTTTATATTTATTAATAAGGAAGTTTTTAGTTTTCTTACTTAAGTGACCTTCTCTTAAATATTTATTAACGGTTTATATATTTTTTTTCATTCTTCAATAAATATATATTGATTTATAGAAAAGTTTTTAGTATATATACTTGAATGAACTTTCAATATATATAAAAACTTTTTATTTTTATATAATTATTACTTTTTTTTAAGAAATGAAAAACCTATTTATTTATTTATTAAAAAGTTTTTAGTTTTTTTTATTTGAATAAATTTTAAATTTATATAAAAACAAAAAGTTTTTATATAATATAAACTTATATATTTTTTTTGAGGGGTGATATTTATATATATTTATCCATAGAATAGTTTTTAGTTTTTTAACTCGAATGAACTTATATAACTTTCTGATTTTTAAACATTTTTTAACTTTTTGTATTTCTTAGAAGACTATTTATATATTTTTATTATTTTTAAAAGTTTAACGAGGTTTTTTATAGGGAAGAACTTCTAATGTAATTACTAATAATTTCAAACTTTTTATAATTATTAAAAAAGAAAAAAATTTTATATTAATTTTTTTAAAATTTTTTAACTTTTAAAACTTAAAGTTTATAAAAAGAATAGAGAAATTAACTTTTTTTTAGTTTTTTTAATGTTTAATATTAAATAAAAATTATTTTTATTATAGTCTATAGTATATAATGAACGTTAATGATTTTTATAAAACTTTGAACTTTTATTTAATTTATTTATTAATAATATATTTATATTAAAACTCATCAACTTTTTTAAGAAAATTTTAAGTTTATACTAATAAACTTATAACTACAAGAATAATTTGTACACCATTTCTTAGTAGTACATTACACACTTTTCGGAAAAAACCAAAATATTTAATTTGTTTAGCAATTAAACTATTTGATATTATATTTTTCAGGAGATTTACTTTTTTTTATAAACTTTTTATATATTTTTATATATAATTTTATACTATTTTAAAGAGAGAAGCTGAAAGTATTTAAGTTTATAGAATAGAGAGAAAAAAAATTATAATTATTTTTATAATAATAAAAATTTTATATTTAAAAACAGTTTATAATAATAATTATAGATTTTTTAAGGAAGCTTCAATATCTTCAGTATTAAATATTGAAAATTTATAAGAATTTAAAAGTTTTTATACTTTTTTTTTACTTAAGGATATTTTTTTTAGGAACGACCGAATTCTGTAAATATTCGTGTTGAACGGGACGGACAAACTTTCATTAAAACTTTTGACTTTGATGGCGTGTTTAATCAAACTGCCAATCAACTTGATGTGCTAACCTCCACATTTTTTTATATATTAAAAAAAAATTTTTTTTTTAGTTAGAATTCATTAATTTTGTAATATTATTATAAAATATACTAACCGTTTATATATATATATATATTTTTTAAGTTTATGCTTATTTTTAATTTTTATATAAGATATTATTTTTATAAAAAAAACTTTATTTTATATTTAAAAAACGATTTACATATGAGAAAAGTAGAGTTTACTTATAAAAATGATTTATAATGGAAAATATTTAAAAACTTGTTATAAAAAAAGAAACTAGCAATTATTAATTTTTTTAACGATAATTTTCAGACTTTTTTTTTATATGAAAGTTTTAGTACTTAATTTTTTATAAAAATTAAATTGTTTTAATTTTTTTTTGTTTTATACTTCATTATTAGAAAACTTTTTTGTTATAAAAGTGTATTATTCGTTTGTTATATAACAAGAAAAAACAACCAAAAAAAAATTCTGCGGTAAGTGAAAGTAAATATAAAAGAATTAAAACATTTATATAAAGAAAATCAAACTAAAATCATAATTTATGTTTTTGTATAACCTTTTTTTATCTTTATAATATTAGAATTATTTTTTAATATTATAAAAAATATTATTAGTTACTAAAACTTTTTCTGTTTCTATTTTTATAATAATTTTTATATTTTGAAATGACTATAATAAATTATTTACTTTAAAGTTTTGTTGATATTATAAAAAATTTCATTATAACGAATATGATTAAAGTTCTTATTTTTTTTAATATTTTCGTTTTCTCTAATAAATTAGTATTGTTTTTTTTTAATTTAACTATTTTTTTGTAATAAGTTTAATAGAATTTATTTATTTTAAATTTTTTTATAGTTATTCTTTTTATTTTTATAATAATGTACGGCCTTATCTGCAATACAGTAAATCTTTTTACTTTTGTTTCTATAAAAAAAAATTATTAAGAATTATTAAAAAAATTTTTAAAGTTTTTATTATTTTATAGTTTTTTAAATAATTTCTTTTATAGTTTATATTATATAAAATATATAAGTTTTTCTAATAAACATTATATAATTTATAAAAAAACTAAAAACTAAATTTTTTATGCTAAAAAGTTTTATTAAATTATTTTTTAAGTTTTTATTATTATTAAAATACATTATAAGCATTTTATAATGAATTTTTTTTAAAGGTTTTTATATCTATTATTCTTTTGAAGAAATTGTTAATATTTTTATAGCACTAATAAAAAGTTATTGAATAATAATATCCGTGATTACTGTTAATAAAAGTAATTATAATATGTATTTGTTTTGTTTTTTTTTAAGTATAATTATTTATAATGTCATTAATAATATTTTTAATATAACAATAATAAAAAGTTATTGAATAATATTATTTTTTATTACTATTAAAAGTAATTTTTTATATATTTTCATTAGTTTTTTGTTATTTTAAATAATAACTTATAATATTATAAAAAAAGTAAATGATAATATTTTTATAGCAAAAATAAACATTTTTTGTCTACTACTAATTATTATTATCAATAGTATTTATAATATATCTTTTTAAGTTTTTTTTATAAAAATTTTTTATAATAACTTTTATTAGCTTTATATATTATGTATTCTTTTCTATACTATTTCAATTTATATATAAATTTTAGTTTGTAATATTTTTACTTTTAAAATTTATAAATGACTTATTTTAAAAGCGGTTTTTTTAATATTATTTTAATCTTGTTTTATAAAAAATAACAATAATTATTTTTTATATATTATAATAATTTTTTTTAATAAATAATATTGGAAATTTTATTTTTTATATTAATATTTACGTTTTTTTATAAAAGGTGTATAAGAGAGTGGCTGTTCATAGCATCGAGGAAATGTTGAAAGGCTATGACTGCACTATTTTTGCGTTAGTACAATATTAATAGCAGTAATTGTAGTCATAATTGTGATAAGAATAAAATGATATTAGTATAATGCTAATAGCAACAATGACGATATTTTTTATAAAAAAATAATAGTAGATATGTTAATACTAGTAATACTAGTAATAATAATTGTGATGATTATGATAATAATAGTATATTAATAATAATAACAATATTTATAAGTATATATAACTTTTGAACCAAATCATATAATAAAAAATTACGTATAGTAATAAATAATAGTAATATTTTCAATTTATATAATAATTATATTTATTTCTGATAATTATAATTATATAATCATAAATTTAATATATATAATATATTAATTATGAAATAATTAATTATAATAACTTTATATATTTTTTAATAATAATATTTATAATATAAACAACTTATGAAATTTTTTGATAATAATAACTTTATATAGTAATTAATAATAACATTTATAAATTATATTGATAAATATAATAATTAATATATTTGAAGTATTATTTATAATAATAATATTAAGGACTACTGAGTGTGTGTAAGTGAATATATTTATAATAGTGACATAAAAGTTTAAAGTTTATTTTTTTTTATAATAAAATTAAAAAAAGGGAAATGTAATAATAGATGAGTTTAAATAGTGAATTACTTGGGAATTTTTTGGTTATAGATATATTAAGTAATAAATAATAGTATATTAGTTTGAATTTTCTTTTAGTATAGAATATATAAAAAGTGATGCTTTACAGTTTACTTATAATAATAATTATAATAAAAAAGAAATAGTTATCCTGTCATGAAGTTTGAATTACATAATAATTATAAATAATATTAGTTAATATATAAAATGATGATACATTTTTAAATAATATTTTTTTTTTTATAATTATTATTAATATTATTTTCCTTATTTTGTTATCATTATATTAATATATTATTATAATGAAGCTATGGACAAACGGGGACGGGAAAAACATATACAATGGAAGGACGTCCCTCGCGAGAAACTAAATGGTTTTTATTTATTCCATTATAATATACTTCTTAACCAATCCCTGCTCGTTATTTACTTTTGTGATTGGAGGGACGTCAACTCGGATGCTGGTCTTATACCACGTGTTTGCCAGCATCTATTTGAGGAGCTCGAGAATATCGATTCAGAATATTCTGTTCAAATTTCCTATGTCGAACTTTATAATGAAAAACTGCGAGATTTGTTGAGCCCGCATTATTCAGAACTGAAACTTTTAAACGACTCAAAAGTATATATTTTATTCTTTTTATTCATAATAATCAATAATATCCTATATTTTTTTATTTTTTATAATAAAAGTATTTATAGATTTTTTATTATTTATACTTATAACTTTTTATAATATATAGTATTATAATTTTTATAGTGAACATTTATTGTACATAATAAAAGTATTTATATATTTTATTAATATAATAACTTTTTTGAATATGTATTTTTATAATTGCTACAATACATATAAATTATATATAATAAAAGTGTTTATATATTTTATTATTATATCCATAACTATTTAAAAATAGAAATTTAATATTACAATATTAATAATAACTAGTAAAAGTTTGTTTTATTGATTATGTTATTATATTATTGATAATAAACTATTTAAAAATATATATTAATTTTTTTTATAACATCAATAAATAAACTATAAAATTATTACAAAATAGTGATAGTAGCTATTAAAATTGCATTGGAAAAATAAATAAATATAAAAAGAAAAGTATAATTATATTATTAAGTATAATAAGAAATATTATAAAGTAAAATAAAGGCATGAAAACGGAATAAAGTATGAATTATATATATACATTAAGGAGAATAGTAAATGAACTTTTTTCTTTATTGTATAAAAAGCGAATGTACAAATAATAGAGAAAAGTTTCATATTTATATTTAAAAGTATAAAAAAATTATAAATAGAACATAAAAGTAGAGTAGTTTTAAAGATAGATATTAAAATATGAATAAGAATATTAATAGTATATAAAAAATTAAGAAAATAATAGGGGTAGAACAGTTTTATATAAGAAGTTTTAAGATAAAATAATAAGAGTTTTAATATGAGAATTATATAAAATATAATAAAAGATAATGATAGTATAAGAATTGGAAAAATTTTAAAGAAATAATGAAAATGTTTATAGAAACAATGAAAAGGTTTTTAAGTAAGAATTATAAATAAAAAAGTATTGAAAAGATGAAATAATGAAAGTAGGGTAGGAAAAAAAATAATGATGTTGATATCTTGTAAATAAGTAAAAAACTAAAAGTAGGATAGTTTATAATAAAAATTTGTTGAAAGAATATAATGGAAAAGTAAAGATATAATGAAAAATAATGAATGTAGAATTGTAAAAATATGAAAAATATAACGTATTAAATAAAAGTACAAAATTACCAGATTCTTATTTATTATTATAATTATTATATTTTTAATAATTACTAATTATTTATTATCTATATTATTACTATTATTGTAATTTTTGTTATTTTCCTTATAATTATAGTTAATCATTATAAAAATGATCATTATTTTCAGGGAAATGTTATTATTGAAGGCGTTGAAGAAGTTGTTGTGCATTCAAATGAAAATGTCTACGACTGTCTTGATGGTTGCTGGAAAAGAAAAACAGCGTCCACCAAGATGAACGAAAATTCGAGGTCCGTGTTTTTAATGACTTATATAAAGAAGTTTATTTGTTTACTTTATTAACAATTTTATAATTATGCTGATTGGTTGGCGTTAAGGGATTTTAAAAGTAATAGAAAAATAGTCATAATTTTTATTTATGTATGGTAATTCTACTACTAATAATAAATATAAATATAAAGCCGCTCTCACACAGTGTTTACCATCACCACACACGTGAAATCTCGCAATTCCGGCGAGGAGGATATTTTAATTACAGGTTATATTCATTTCTTTCTTAAACAAATTTTTTATATCGTTTTTTATTGGTATAATTTTTTCAGGTAAACTTCATTTGGTGGATCTGGCGGGAAGTGAAAACATTGGCCGTTCAGGCGCTACTAATATGCGTGCTCAAGAAGTTTATTATTATTATTATTATTATTATTATTATTATTATTATTATTATTATTATTATTATTATTATTATTATTATTATTATTATTATTATTATTATTTGTAGTAGTAGTAGTAGTAGTAGTAGTAGTAACAATCCATTATATCCCCAATTTTATACTAATGAAACTTAAGTAATAAATTTGTAAGTAACATTTTTTCCCGAAATATTTTCAATTCGTTGTTTTCTTTGACTAGGCTGGCAAAATCAACAAATCACTGTTAACTTTGGGCCGTGTGATCACTGCGTTGGTTGAAAAAACGGGAAGGGTCCCATACCGCGATAGTCTTCTTACAAGAATTTTACAGAGTATGTCAGCTTTATAATATTTTTAATGTTATTTTCGACCAATCATTATTTATTATTTTAGTGCTTATACTTAACCATTCATTACAGAGTATTTCAGCTTTATAATGTTTTTATTACTCTTGAACTTCCATATTATTTTTGACCATTTTTCTTTAGTATTTTTAGTTCTTTGTTTTTACTTTTTTTTATTACTATAATTTCAGTGCTTGTATTTGACCAATCATTATTAATATATTTTTTGAGTAGTTACCTTTTTAATTTTTTTAAATAGCCAATATTTTTTATCAGTTTCACTAAATAATTTAATATTTTTTGAGGGATTTTTGCTTTAAGTATACTTTTCATAATTATTGTTAGCTTTCCATTAAAACTTTTTATACTTTTCATAATATTTATATAAAAGAAGAACTTTCATTGTTATAAACATTTATTAAGTAATTTTAGTAAATATTAAGAAATTCCTTTGTATATTAATATTTGATGGTTGCTTTATTACTTGTTTTTGTTTTTCTAATACTTTTTGTTCTTGTTATTATCTTTTAGGGTTCACTTATTTTTTATGTATTATTATTATTAATTTTTTTTACTTTTTTATTTATTTATTTTACTTAATTATTATTAATAAAATAGCACCTTTTATTCTTTTTTTAATTTTTATTATTACTAATAATTTTTACTTTTTCTTTATTATTTGTTTACTATTTTATCTAGTTATTATATTATTATTATTTTTACTTAATTTTTACTAACTATTACCACTAATTATTACTATTACTTTATTATTATTAATTTTTTCCATTTATTATTAATTATTACTTTTACTTTGTTATTTATTCATTTTTTTACTTTTTATTATTATAATATCAGATTCCCTGGGAGGAAAGGCAAAAACAAATATTATAGCTACTATTTCTCCTGCTCATATCAATTTAGAAGAGACGCTGAGCACGTGCATATACGCCAGTCGGTACTTCTATTAAACATATCATACTCCACTTTTAGCCAATCATTAAACGTTTATTTGGAATCTAAATAAATAAATCGTTATTGATTCATCATACTTTAAAGAAACTTTCATCCACATGCTTTCATATGCGCGTGCTTCTTGGCATAAAAAAATTGTTTTATTGTTTTTATATTTTATTTATTTATTTATTATATTATCATCATTATTAATACTTTTTAATAAACTTTTTAGCGCAAAATTTATCGAAAATCAGCCGGAAGTTAACCAGACGCTTACTAAAAAGGCTTTAATAAAAGAGTATACGATGGTTTGTTTTTGCCAACTATTTTTGTATATATATTCATTTCTACAATAAATATATGAAACAGAATAAGAATAAGAATAATAAATAATAATAATGATAATAATAATAACATTCAACTTTTTATAAGATATTAATTGGGGTACTATTTTTTTACTTTACTAGAAAGCCCCGTTAATTGGCTTTTTCTAATAAAAGTAAAAACAAAAAAATAAATAAGCATATTTATGAAAATAATAGTGATATAAATGTAATCATAAAAGAAAATTTTTTTAAATAATACAATGAAATTTATCAACTTTTTAATAAATATAAAAAGTCGTGTTGGGTGTTTATGCATCCCTAATTGGGTAACATTATTACATACCATCTTTTTGCGCTTTAAATGGTTCTTTTTTCTAGCTATATTATGCGTATAGGCTTGACTTCCATATACTTATTATTCATTGTTTTCTCAAACACATTATATACTTGCATTATATGTATTTTATATTTCTTTATAAAAGTTTTGATTATATAATATTTTATTTATAACAATTATATATAAATCATTTTTTATCTAATAATTATTATAATATTTATAACGTTTTTTTATAGTTATTTAAATTTTTTTATAAATTTTGATTAAAAAAATAATGAGTCCTTAAAACTGTACCTTGTTTACTTATTTTGGTTCCATATAATCAATTTATTGGTAAACGTTACTTTTTTATATTCTTATGTCTATTGGTTAATATATTTTAATTTTCTATGATTCTTCTGTTTGTATCGTTAATTTTTTTTTCACTTGTAGATTATTGAAAGGCTTCGGAAGGACTTGTATACCACGAGGTCTAAAAACGGGGTAAGAACTCGTCACTGCTACCTGTACTAATATGAGCCCTTTATCGTATTAGTTGATGCTTTAAGTGACATTTAGAAATCACAATTTGATTTATTCAGTATTATTTAATGCAAACATTAGCTTGTCCATCACGCTTTATTGTCCCAAACATTGGTTGGGAGCTTTTAGTGACATTTTAAATTACATTTTGGTATTAATAGTATTAACTGATGCACTTTAAAATAAAATTAACCGTCAGTCACGCTTTTACTATTAAGGAAGTTTTAATATTATATTACAAAAATTTGAAAAGCTGGAATTAATGTGTTATTGTTTTTCATATTTTTACGAAAAATAGTAAACTTCCAGTAAAATTTATAGTACTTAATATAATTATTATTAGAAAGGTTTCATTAATAATCATGACTTCGAATTATTTTTTTAATAAATGCTTTCGATAATTTATATTTTTATTTTCTTATTATGTATTTATTAAGTCTATTTATATTTTTTTAGAGAATTAATAATTTTATAGAAATATTAATAAACGTCATTATTATATAATTTCTATTGAATCGTTATAAGTTTGATAATGAGTTTTTATATAATTTTATTATTTGTATTATAATTATAACGAATAATTTATATTTATTAATAACGAAAAGCTAATCTATAATTAAAAAAGTTTAATTGATAATCATACAAATTTATTATTTATTATTATTATTTATTCAAATTTATTTTTTATTACTGTTTACTATTATTTTTTTTAATATTTCTTATTATTACATACTCAAAGTTGTGTATTGTGATATATTTAGATTTTATTATTATTACTGTTATTATTATTTACTTTAATTTACTTATTATTTTACTACTACTATTATTATTTAAGCTTTATTTATTATTATTCTCATTTTTACAGTTTTTTTAAATTTATATATTATTATTTTTATGATTCCTCTAAATTTATTCATTCGTTATTATTATTTATTCAATTTTGTTTACTATTATTATTTTTATTTTTATACTATTGTTTATTTAGACTTGTTTATTATTTATTTACTATTATTATTATATTTTTTAACTTTATTATAATTTTTATTATAAACTATTCAGATTTACTTATCATTAAATTTAATATTTTTATAGTTTTATTGATTATTATTATTAATATTAATATTTAACCGGATTTACTCATAATTATTATTTTATTTAATCAGATTTTCTTAATTATTTATCACTTTTATTATGATTATTATATATTTATTATTATAACTATTCAGATTTATTTATCGGAAGAACGCTACGAAGAAATAATGGGCCAACTCGCCCAGAAAGATCACGAATCGAGCACGCTTTCGATTTCTGTTTCTTCCTTGCAAGGCAACAACAATAATAATAGATATTAAAATATATAAATAACGTAATAAAAATTTATAAAAAGAATAAGAAAAATGTATAAAATAACATAGAAACCATAAAAAAAATATAAATAAACGTTAAAAAAAATAATTAAGAAATAAAAACGACAAAAAAACTAAAAAATAGACATTATATACAAATAATAAAAAATAGAATAATCAGAAAAATTTTAAAATATAAATATAAATAAATAATTAACAAGAAATGAGAAACTATAATAAGAAATATAAATATAAATAATATTAAATAAAAATATTTAAAATAATTGAAATTAGTAATAAATGAATAAATATAATATTATTACTTAAAGAAAAGTAGTAAATAATAAAATATATATAAACAGTTTTTATTGTATAATTATGAAGATACTAATAATAAAATACTGAAAACTTAATAGTTAATAAACTTGCTTTACATTTTTTGGTGCAAATCTATTTCTATTTTTTCTAGAGTTTTTATAATGAAAAGAAGTAAATTTATAAAAAAGTAATTATTATTATTTTGTGAAGTAATAAAAGTTTTTTTTATAGGGAACTGAATTTTTGTAATAATAAAAATTTTATAAAAAGATAATTATTTTATTATAATATTATATAGAAAAGTGCGATGAACTCACGAATGCAAACTCTTCACTTCGCACTGAACTTCGTGAAACCTTAAAAGAACTTAAACAGGGAAATAAAAGAAATGAAGAGCTTTCAGAAAAGTTATTAGCAAGTCAAAAGGAACTAAACGTTTCTAATATAAAAATAAACGAAAAAGTTAATATTATTATGATTGTTGATGTCACTTTCACAATAATTATTGTTAAAATTTTTTATTTCTACTATTATTGATGTTATTATTATTATTACTATTATAATATTATTATCACTATTATTATTGATAAGATAATTTATATTATTATTATTCAGGAGTACATTATTACAGTACAAGAAGAAACGGAAAGAAAACTTCGCGAGGAAACAAAAGCGCTTCGAAACATCATGGATTTGCTAAAAAATGATCAGCAAATAGTATATTCAGCTTGCGAGGAACTAGCCAATCATCATCGAAAGCAAATAGCTGTTATTCGGCGAGTGGAGGATTGTCTTTATCGCAACGCATCTTCGTTATTACTATAATTTTATATCTTTTCTTATTAGTTTAATAATTATATATTTTTATATTTATTACTAGTTTAGAAGATTCATTAAAAAACTTTCAGGGCCAAAGTGAATCTTTTTTTTCTCAACTTTTAGACGAACTTAATATAAACTTTTCTTTACCAGTACTACCTTTGTTATATTTGTTTTATATTTATTTTACGCCTTTTTTTATTTTTTAAAAAAAGTTCAAAAATTTTACTGAAGTTGTTAAAAGAGAAGTTGAAACATTTAAAGAACTTTCAGAAAACTTAAACCATCAGACTATAGAAAAGGCTCGAACCAATAGCGACGCACAACTAGCACAAGTGGGCGCGCTAAAAAGTTTGTCCCACGCCCAAAAAGTTCGACAACTTATGCCTGCTTTTTTTTTTTTTTATTGGTGCTTTATTTTTTTAATTTATATCAATATTTTTAAATAATAAACTTTTTTATTTTTTCTATTATAAATTTTGCTTTTTACTTCTTTTTTTTCTTATTTTTGTATCTACTCGTATAATAAAATATTATAGTATTTTATTTTATATACGTGCAGTTTCTTGGTAACTCACTAAACTTTTGACTTACTTATACACACTTTTACGATAATTTTTTATTAATTATATTTTTAAAGTTCGTTTAGTTAATATTTTTATACTTTACGTATTTTTTAACAGTTAGTATATTCTTCTTTTTTTGGCGCTTACTAAATATTTAAAGTATGTTAAAAGAATTTAGTTTTATATTTCTATTATTTTTTATATATATCGTGTTTGTATCTTTTTTTGGGATTTTTATCAAATATATTTATTACTACTACTGATGGTAATAATAGCAATAATAGCAATAGCAATAATACAGAAAAAAAATATATTTTATGTATTATAGAAAAATTTATGCATGCGTGAAAAAATTTTAATTATAAATTCCTTTAATGGTGCATAAAATTTTTAGAGCTAATTTCTTATGTTATGAAATTGCTAACCCAATCAAACACCATAAAATATCTGATCGGATAACGTAATTAGTTCATAAATTTGTAAACTGGTGTAAAAAATTAAAGAATATAGTTTGCTAAAGCCAATCAAAGCTCAATGACGTTATGAATTATACAAAATATTGTTATTAGTCTTTTTCTTTAGGAAATTTTATTGAATATATATTTTTTAATATATTTTATTACATTTTATTATGTATTTTCTTAACATTTATTATTTTTATACAATTTTTTTCTTGAAAGCTTTAATAAAAAATGTATTCGTATTATTTCTATATAAATAATTTCCTTAAAAGGTAGAAGCTGTTTTTAATGATCGAACTTTACAAGAACTTTTTGGGAAGTTGAAAGACGAGTTATTAAAAATTATTGTATCCTTTTATTATTTAATATTATTATTATTATTTTCCAACTTCTTATAAGGAAAATATAGAAGCAAAAAGGACTTTGTTATTCTCTCGGCTCGACCAATGTCTTCACGAAATGGATTCACTAAATAATATACAAACTAACTCCTCTTCAGAACTGTATAGAAAGTTGGGTAATGCATTTTATTCTTATTGTGGTTTTGATTGGCTAAAATTTTTATTTATGTAGTTTTTACGTATACTTAAGAAGCTTTAGAGCGCTTCTGCTTACTTTATTTTGTTAATTATTATTATTCTGAACACTTTTTAAAAGAAACACTACAAGGAAATATTATTTAACGATAATAATAATTATGCAAACTTTTTTTTATTGTAGTAAACTTTATACTTCAGTTATAAATATGCTTAAAAATTTGCGCCACCTTTATTATTTGGATCATTATATCGCTTAAGCCGACCTTTTTTATACTAAAGCCTTTAAATTGCTACTAATAACTTAGTAAAATTGAAAATTTTACGGTTATTATTATATTTATTACTACTTTTATTATTATTTGAAAAACACTTTTATCAAACATTTTATTTATTATTAGATGATCTTCTCTCGATTCAAACAACAACCATCTCAACAGTAAAGCAATATTTATCTAATCAGGTTCTCGATCGCACGCAGCATCGCGAAGCTGTTAAAGCAGAACTTTTGGAAAAACTTCGAGGGGTACTGGATTCTTACTTTTCTGCTGAACAGGTATTGCTATTACTTGTTAATATTACTTGTATATAAAATAATATAATGAAATTGTGTAATCTTTTATTCACATTTTTGTATGATACAAAATATTTGGTAAATAATTATTATATTTATATTACAAAAGTTTTATTCGCATTTACTTAAACAAATTTTTTCATTATCATTATGTCTTTATTTTCAAAAGAAATTTTTTGGGTAATTTAAAAATTTCATTATTTTAATTGTAAAAGCTTACTAAAAAGGAAAGCCAAGAATTGAATTTTATAACCAATGAAATTTGTTTATTGATCGTTACAAGCAATTTTTTTTTATTACGAAATATGCTAAGTAAAACCTTCCCAATATTTTTTGTCAATTTCACTATTTTTACTGCAAGAAATTTTTTAATTTTTACTAAAGCAAGGAGATGAGAAGTTTGCCACTTATATGAAATCTAATTTCCAATTGGTGGAAAATTCGATTGAAAATATTTCCAATAATCTTCTTGCTAACATCCAGGTATTTAATGGTTGTACTCATTGGTTATTTCCATCTAAAAAATTATGATTGTTATAATTTTTTTAAATATTTATTAGTAACTTCATTAATTTTAGTAAAATATTTTATGCATTCTTTTTCAGTATTTAAATTTAGTGGATTATATTTCTTTTACTGATTCCCTTTTTTATAGCTTTTTAATTGGGCTAAATTATAAACAAGCGGTGTTTTTTTTAATGCTAGCTCTTTAGCCAATGAGCTTACACTTATATTTTACAATTATTATAATAATTTTTGAAAGTTTCAAACATATTTGTGACTCTTCTTTGTTAAGTGATTTAGTGAAAACAATTTTATTATTATGAATTCGTTAAAAAATTATATAATATATATTTCTTGTAGATTACTAATATCAATCATAAAATTTTTGGAGGTTCTTATAGACTATGTAATTTTTTTTGCGCTGAAAAACTAATGCTTATTGGTTAACTATATTTCGACGCCAATGAAATATTGTGTTGTTGGCCGTAATTGTCATATTTAACGACTCCCATTTCTCATATAGTGTTAGTATCATGATTGGTTGATCGCAAAATTGTTAAAACCACCCCCCCCTTAATATTATTAAAAATTACTTTGCTCACTCAATTATAAAAAAAGTTTAAAGTTTTCTTATCATACAGTAATGCTACACTTTATCTTGTGAATATCTATTTTGTTTGGAACTTATATATTCAATAAAAATAATGAATTTTTTCGATCACTGGTATAGATGGACGCAAATAATTTGTCCAAACACATGGTTTCATATTCGGACGCATTAAAAAATATACAATCGGAAAATGAATCTCGAAGTTCTCAGTTGTCAGTGGACGCCACTCTAGCCGTGGACTACGTTGATAGGTTGTGCAATACATTGTAAATTCGTTAATAATAGTGAACTTATTAAAAGTAATCTGGCGGAAAGAATAATCTGAAAATATTCACATAAAAAGTATAATAAACCGGTTGTAGCGATTAGCCAAATTTATTTACAACTAATTTTGATTTGTTATAGAAAAATTAAATAAAGATTATAAAATGCTTTTAGCAAACACTTTCATATCGAAAAAAGTAAAGAATAGTAATAATAATATAGAATAGTAATTAAATAACATTAATAGTGCAAAGTCCACCAGTGAGCAACGAGAGAAAAAGGTTTCGGATATTATTGGCTCTTACAAAAAGCTCGTGGAAACTAAAGCAGATGAATTTATATCTTCAGGTTTACTATAATATTTTAAAGTATTTTGTTTCTATTTTTATATATAAAAAGTTCATGAATATAATAATTAAATGAAAAAAATAAACAATTTACGAAATAAACTTTTATAAAAAAGTCTTGCAAACTATATTATTCAATAATCGCTAATAAAAACTTAAGACAATAATAAAATAATAATTAAATAAAAGTTTTTCTTTTTAAGTTTTTATAATTTTATAATGACAGATACTTTAAAAATAATAAATTTTACTATTATTATTAATATTATTAGAAAAAAGTTTTATTTCTGAACTGACTACTTCGCTTGACAACCATGATACGGATAGCAAATTTTTACTTGGCCAATTTTTAGAAAAACTTTCTTTCGGTATTATAATGAACACTTCTTTATTATAAAAAGTTTCTATTATTATTATTATTAAAGTCTTATTAAACTAAAACAATTTTTTTCAATTTATATTTATTAAATTTTATAGCTGTCAATCAATAATTTTTTATAAATATTATAACTTATTCTAATAATATTTTTGTGTTTTAGTTTATTAATAATATTTAATAGACAAAATAAAATATTTAGAAAATTGCTTTCAATATTTTTTACCGGTATTAAACTTAATTAAAATTAACTATTTTTCAATTTTATTATTATTGTTATAATTTTCTCTAGTAAATATGTTTTACTTTAGAAACTTTTTTTAATATTATAGTATTATTTTTTAGTATTAAGAAAGCTTTTTCACTTTTTTTTAACTACTATGGTTTTTTCTTCATATATATATCTATTTTTAATTATTATTGCTTTTTTATATAATTTATTTATTTTTTATATATCACACTTTTATTATTATTAGAGAAAGAAGGTATTAATGAAAAGTTAAGCTTTATATCTGAGGCTATTCAACTTCGTAATAATTCAGCTTCTCACGAATACCAGTACAATTTATATATTTTTTCATATAGAGAAATTTTTTACACTGCAAAGTTTATTATGGATAATACTTCTTATATTTTTATATTATTTTTTTTTACTTTTTATTTATTAAAATATACGTTTTTCCTATATTAAGTGAATATTTATACTTTTTAGAGAGAAAAACTTTGTATACTGCAAAATTTTCATAAATTATTATGATTTTATTATTGTTTTCACATTTTTATATAAATAAAGAAAATTTTTTCCCCCTGCAAAGGTTTTGTTCTATTATTTTTTTTTAATTAAATTTATACATTTAATATGCGATGTTGTTTTTTATATGAAACATTTATATTTTAACCCTAACCTATATTCATTTATAATAATAATAATTATTATTATTGTTATTATTATATACAATATATATAAAATTAATAATATATGCGAAAAGTATTTAAATTTTTTTTCATTATTCTTTATTACCTTTTTTACTCTTGTAGGATTTCTTCTTTTATTTATAAAAATTAATTTTTTTCTTAGTAATTAAAATGTAAAAAGTAATAAATTACAATTCAGCAAAAAATTAATTATTTAAGATTTTATATAAATATTTAATATTCTTTTGTTAGTTTATTATTTTTTAATGCGTTTTTTATTTATATATAATAAAGTATAGATAATATTTATATTTTATTATTCTTATTTAAAAAATTATCATACATGTATTATTATTATAATATAATTTGTTATATTTGTGATTATTTACTTTATGCGTTTAAATTTATTATTTTTATATACTAAATATATTTATATTTTCATTATTATTTATTTTAAAAACGGTATAAATATATATATTATTATTGTTTATTTTACTTATGATTATATGCTTTTAACTATCTTTACATTTTATTATTATATTTATAAATATATTTATATTTCTATATTATATTTTAAATTTAATATAGATAAATATATAATTACTTACTTTTGTATCTTTTTGTTTATTATTTTAATGTTGATAAATCATATTTTTAAATATAATGTTTTATTATATTTTATATAAATAGTTATTATTATTATTTATCATATTTATAATTATTTACATTTATATATATATTTTTATTTTAAATTTATGTTAAGCTCAATATAACTATATTTCTTTATTTTTATTTTATTATAAAAATTTATACAAATATTTATTATTTGTATTTTTTATTTTTTTAATTAAATATTAATAAATTATTTTTATATTGTATTTTATTTTAATATCAATATAAAATACATATTCATTACTATTTATTATTATTTATTTTTATTTTTTTTATTGTATTTTTTTATTATAAAAATTAATATAAATATTCATTATTATTTATTATATTTTCAATTATTTACTTTTAAAATTATTTTTACTTTTATATTTTTATATTACATTATTATATAAACCCCTGTAATTTTTGCCTCACTATTTTTGTATATTTATGTACAAGTAACGTTAACATGTTAATACTTTGTGTATTATTTTATAAATATTCTATTTTTTATTATTTTACTTTTACTAATAATAAAAAAGTAAAATAAATAATTTATCTTTAATAATATATAATATTTATATTATTTTTATTTCCAATATCAATAATTCTATTTTTATTATATTATTTTGATATAAAATATAATTAAAACGTTGAAAGTATTTTGTTCATTTTTATATTTTTAATTATTTTTTTATGATATAAATAATTATATGAATTTTTATAACAATTCCTTATTTATGTATCTACTCAATTTATAAATAACATGTGAAGTTTTATATATTTATTTTTTAGTGCACCTAAAATATTTGCTTCTACAGTTATTATATATTCATATATATAGTTTTATTATAAATATTTTTATATTATTTTTTTTTATTAATATTTAATTATAAATTTCTATTTTCAACTTGTATTACATGATTATTTTTTAACACCTTTTTCTTTTCATTTTGATACTATATAAAACAATTACTATATATTTATAATTTTCTATAAAGTTTAAAGTGTATTTTAATTACTTTTCACTTTCTTTTTTATTATTATTCTTTTAATAAGAAAACTATAAGACTATTAAAACGTGAAACTTTTTTTTTATATTTAATAATTCTTACAATTATTTTTTCAAACTAAAAAAACTGTTTTTCTTTGATATTTTTATAAATTTATTTAATTTAACAAAACTTTTCATAAGTTACTTTTTTGCTTTTATTTACGTATAAAAATATATAAATTTATTACATAAATTTAATATTTATACTAATTATAAACTTTACTTATTTTTTTATTTATATTTTGCTTATTTAGTAAAATATATTTTATTAATTCATCTAATCTAAAAAAAAATTTTACTTTACTAATTTTTTATATTTATTTCTTTAATTTATATACTTTAAATATTTTCTAATATAATTTTTATTACGCAAAAAAACTTTTTTTTTGCTGTTCTAATGTAATTATAAACTTTTTGCAGAGAACTTAATAACACTCGAAATAAGCTGGTCGCCCATGTGGACCAACTTCATAATGAAACAGGAGAGCACGTGGTCTCCTATCCGTCTTGCGAGGGTGTACCACTGCCGGACGAGACTCCCGCACTTTGGGTTTGTTAAAAAACAAAAAATAAATATTAATAAAAAGTAAAATTCCAATAGATTTTTTAATAATATAATAAATAAATGATTTTTTTAATAATAAAAATTTCTTATAATAAGCAAAATGAAAACTATACATTCTTTAACTATTTACTATTATAAAAAACAGTTTATAAATAATGATAAAAGTATTATCATAATGAAGTAAAAAGTTAAGAAGAAATTTTTAATAAAATAAATTAATAAATATTTAATTGTATTAATAATGATAAGCCTTAAATTTGTATAAATATACAATATCATAAGAAAAATTGTTTGGGATATTTATAGAAAATATATAATAAAAAGTAAAATAATAAATAATTATTAAAAAAAGTCTATATCTTTTCATAACTATTAATAAGTTTATAAAAAGTACAAGTAGAATAGATTTTTTGAATAATATAAAATATATGAAAAAATATATATTATTTAATAATTGTAAAATATCAAATAAATAGGAAAAGTATGACAAAAATAGTATAAAAAATATAATAAATTAAAAAATATATATAAAAAATAAATAATATATTTATATTAAAAAATATAAATAAGTTATTTATGTAATAGAATTAATATAATATAAGTTATAAAAAAAAATATAAATATAAATATTATTGATAAACTTTTATTAAAAAAAGTATTAATTATAATTTTTTATTGTAATAAAGTAAATAAAAGTATAAAGTTATAATATGATAAATTTATTACTAAAAAATGTATTTTTAATAATAAAATTAATAGTATAAATAATAATCATTATTAAATCAATATAAAGGAACTAATATAAATATATATAATAAAAGTATACATATCATAACATAATGATAATATTAATATATATAAAAAAATAGCAACCCAAAAAGAATAATTATTCTATTATTATGTAAAATATTAAAAAAATAAATATTTATGATAATAATATAAAGTAAATAAAAGTATTAGTTTTTGAAATTATAATAAAATAATAATAACTTTAAACAAATATAACTACTTTCCAAAATTTACCTCAAAGTTATGATAAAGAAATAATTATTTTCGGCTTTCCATTCGTATATCCAATCGCAATATAACTTTTCCTATCACCAATCAATGAGCAAAAGAGTTTTTTGTGCGATATATATATTTTTTCAAGTTTCACTGAAAAGCTGAAAATGTTTAAACCATTTTTATTTATTTATTTTTTTATAACTTTTAATTATCTATTTTATTTTCCATTATAATTATTGAAGAGTTCTGAAGAAAGAAAAGAAAAGTTGAAACTACTGCAAAACTTATTGGTTGCACTTCTTTTTTATATATCTTCACTATCACGTGTTCTTTAGTGTCACGTGAGACATCGGTTCCTCGTGATTTATTTTTTATAGTTTTCTACGGGTTTTTTAATTATAAAATTTTTATACTACTAATAATAAAAGTAATTTATAAAATTATAATAACTATTAGAAGTTTTTTAATAAAAAGTATTAATAATATAATAAAATAAGCAAAGTTTAATCTTTCTAATAAAAAAATCTACTAAGAAAACTAAGAAAAACTTTTTTTATTAACAAAACAATATAACTAATTACTTAATATTAAAAATAATATAAAATTCTTAAAAAATAAGTTTCTATTAGGAATCAAAGAAAAAATAAAAGGAATTATAAAAGTTTATATAATGAAAATATAAAAAAAATTGTTTAACGAAATAACGTTTTTTATTTTAGATAAAAAATAAACTTTAAGTATATATAAAGTTTTATTATAAACAAATAAAGTTTATTGAAAAATAATATTTCTTTTATGAATATGAAAAGTTTACTAGAAAGTGTAGCGTTTCTACTATATTATATATTAAAAAACTACTAATAAAACTTTTATTATAAACGTAAAAAGTAAATTATTTTTCCTACATATAAAAAAACTTTTAAATATATAATAAAATTTTTGTAATAATTATAACAATGTCATTTAAGCGTAAGAAATTCTTATTGTTAAGTTTTATAATTTTTCTGGATATTTTAATATGAAATATTTTTTTATTTATATGAAAAGCACAAGTTTTTATTTATTATAAAGAAGAAATTGAAAGTAAATTATACTTTTTAAAAAATAAATGTATTGAAGTAAAAATTCTTTATAAATAATATTATCTTAAATATAGAAGAGTTTATTATAAGAAATATTAAACAGGTTTTTATATATATAAAATAAAACTTAATATAAATATTATAAGAAAAAGTATAAAAAAGTTTATTATAATAAATATATAAAGCACAAGTTTTTATCTTTTTTAATAGAAATAAAGTAAAAAAAAAATTTTTTGTTAATATAATTTCGAATATAGAAGAGTTTTTTATTATAAATAATAGACAAATTTTTCTAATATATATATATATAATAAACTTATAGTAATTATTAATAGTAATAAAATTTAATAAAATTTAACGTTTTTTCTAATTATTAATTTAATAAAACTTAAAGTAAATATTATAATAAATATACTAATACTATTAAAAAATTTCACAAATTTTTAATTTATGTATATAGAATTAACTTTAAGTAGAAATTATTTATAATAAATGTAATAATATTATGAAATTTAAAAATTTCTTATTTATATATATAAAAAATTAGTTTAAAGTAAATATTATAATATATAATAATAAATATCCAAAATTTGACAAATTTTTTATCTCTTATAAAGTTATTATAATAAATATTATGAAATGTAAATAGTTTGTCATTATATATTTAAAAAAATTAAAGTGGATATTAATTATAATAAATATAATAAAATTATAAAATTTAAGGTTTTTTTATATATATTAAAAATTCAATTACAACAAATATAATAAATTTTACAATATTTTTCATTTTGATATATAAAAAATTAACTTAAAGTAAATATTGTTTATAGTAACTATAATAAACTATAAAGTTAAACGTTTTTTATTTATAATTAAAAAATAGGCTAAGAGTAAATATTATTTGCAGTAGACAAGAAAGCTTAGCTTGTTATTTTTATATAAAAAAAATTTGCAATAACAAAAAGTTTAATAGTAAACATTCATAAGTAAAATTTTTTTTGTATTTACTAAAGTTTTAACTTATACATTTGTTTTATATATTCTTTTTTTCTTATAACATTACTATTATTATTATAAATATTTTAACTTTTATTTTATTTTGTTATGGGTTTACGTTAATATTATTATCAACGTTATTAAGTAGTTGAAATTTTTTAAGAAAAATAATTTTTTTTTATAAAATAATAATTTTACTTTATTATATTTAATTATATAAATATATTGCGTAATTTTTACGAACAGTAAAATTTTCATTAGCTTTCTCACATGCATTTATTATTACTACTACACTATTGTTATTATTATTATTTATTTAGAAATCTGAAGAAACTGATAATATTCAACATTTTCAAGAACTCAAAGAACCGACGACTTTTGGTAAAACTTTTTTTCAGTTTCTCAGCGTTTAGCAAAAGCGCTTCTCAAAAGTTTTAGTATAGAAAATATTCTCAAAGTTTTGTTAATGAGAAAATATTTGTATATCTTTAGAAAATGATGAAAACGTTGAATTCATTGCATTATCTTCTAAAAGGAAGAAGACCAATAATGACACTGCTCTGAATAATGAAGAGTAAATAGTTTGTTTTATTATTATTGTTTATTTTCTTGTTAAAAAGCTATTATTTTTGTTAATTTCGTACGGGCAAGTAAAAATAAACTTTAAGTATAGAGCCAATAAAACGTTATTATTATAATTTATATTTTTATACTTTTTATTTTATAAAGTAAAAGTAATCACTTCTTTAGAAAACCCACACTGGAACGCGTTTCACAGAGAAATAGAACGCCATTACTTGAAAAGTCCTAAGTGAACATTATATAAATAAAAAATAAATATTATATTATATTTATTATTATTACGCGTGCCACACCAAAATATAATGAAAAAAACTTTTTCAAGTGTGCGCATACGAATATATATTGTTAGATTATATTTTAACTGGTTTTTCATAAAAAAATTGCTGCAAAATAGAAACGTTGGTGTAGTTTACATCGTCAGTTTATCTTATTCTATAGGAAGTTATTATTTTTATTTGTATTATGAGAATTTATTTGATACGGAAAAGTGCGCATTTTACTTTTTTTCAACTGTCTTTCCACGCGGCCACCTCGTGGTTTGCACCATACTTCCTTCACTCTTTCACTATCTTGCAAAGCTGAAGGTACAAATACTTTTATAGTAAGGCATTGGTATTCTCCACTTTATTTGTTTTTAAATAAATAAGATTTCCTGTTTATTGGTTATACTTACACGTAAAACTCTACGATTTGCTGTCCTTTCCTTTTTTGAATTATTACTGCTTTTTCCCAGTGAACTTTTTTTTCATAATAGTGGTACTGCTAGTAATATAGGAAGAAAAGATAAGAAACCCCTAAAGTAACAGCAGGCTCAGGAGGTTATACATGCTAAATTTTGAAGTATACTGTATATTGTCAGCGTTGAAATAAATAGATTGTATACTAACATTAGTCCATGAAAACGTTCTCCCGTTCGTTATGGGTTTTTTTAAGCAGATATATAATTATATTAGGTCTTCCAAAATTATTTAGCTTGGTTTTATAACGTCAATAAGACTTCTAAGCTCCCCCACCACAGCAATAAAAATATGAGTATACAATGCAATTAAATTTTTTCAAGAGGTGCTTCAACTATACTGATCGAGGGCAAAATTCGTGGTGTGAGTGAAGAGTGGAGTATTTTTATATCAACTTTTATTCTTAGTAAGTGACCCTAAAAGCTCTTTAGAAGAATAATTAATAGCTGCCTTGTTCCTTGCGCCTAGTAATTTTATAAGCGCTTTAGAAGATGTAAATGGCTTCTTTTATAGACCTCCACTTGATTCTGTAATGTATTAACTAGTTTCGGGCAATTAAAAAATGGTTTTTTTTTTCAAAACTTTAGGTTCTTAATTTTTTAGATCAAGTTAAGTTTTTAATCAATAATTGTGGAATCTTTAATACTTTCTCCAATTAAATAAAAAAAGTAAACTTTGCGATGTAGTTACGTTGAGAAGATTTCGAGTTATGAGCTTTTACGACTCAAAGATTATATACGCAATATCGTACCGCTATTAAAAAGAATTTAAGAAAGGAAGAAGGAGAGATCGTAGTGGTCTAGGCAGTCACCTATGAAAAACGTAAGTAGATTAACTATTCGAAGGTTATTAGTTGCCACAATGTTAAATATTGAATTCGCAGCAATAATGAATATATAAAATCAACTTTTTAGAGTGAAAAGACTGAAGTCATGCTATTTGGCTGGAGGCGAAGGAAAAGGTATGAACTCCAAGTGTTTAGATATTGTATATGATGAAAATTTTGTATACTAGTTTATTTCACACATAATATATTTTTATAAGTTTAAAAATTTAGTGTTATATTACATTTTAAAAGAAATAATGGATAACGTTTGAAGACATGACACCGCTTTCGTAAAGTTCAAGAAGGAACTGTGCAGCAATGAACTTCACGTTAACTTCTCTCCTGTTTTCTACTCACCCACAGGACGCTCGTACCTTGTGTTAATACATTGAAGCACTTTAGTAGGTCTGGTAACGAACAGCGTAGCTATTACAAGAAATTAAAATGAAATACTTCAAAGACTGGTTTTATGCAATGGTTGCATGCTTGCATTAAGGTCTAACGCGTACTTTGATATACTGAATTATATCAGTTTTGTTAGTCACTCAAGATATCAAGTACACCGTAAGTGCTCTCTCCACTTTCAACCTACATTAACTTATATCGCATTGTACTTTGTTAAATTTTAAGCAATTTATCTATATAAGTTAACTATATTTTCTTTAATACGCCCAGTTATTAAAACTTTGTTCCCCTCGCTCTATAATTCTCTTAACTTTCTTATGTTTTTAACCTGTCGTTTAGGCTTATACCTTAAGGTTTTGTCCCCTGATGTATATTGCAGCCTTCGTTAAGCACTGATTTCCAACACTAACCATTTTAGTGACTGAAGTGTGTTTTATCACTACCCGATATAAAACTTAACTGCTGTATATATATATACAATAATTTGTCTAGCTATGCGACGCTTCCATATTCAAGAACACATATCAATGGGCAATAACACCACGTGTTGAAGATAAGAAATTTGCGCTGCCCACTCTAGCTGTAGCTTACATAAAAATTTTACTTTGCCTTCGCGACATCCTATGTATTTATACGAGTATAAGTTGTGTGTGGGTAACTCTTTGTAAAACCATAGCTCAAATAGACACTTAATGGTTGTACGAAAGTTAATTAAGCGTAGTAAAATTCAAAATAATAAATCGCTTTTTCTCGTGCTATCGGCTATGTTTAACCGTGGTAATTTAAACATTAAACTAACAATTAAATATTCTATAAAAAGTTATAAAAATTATAGATTAAGATCTTTTTTGTCGTTAAATTTTTTATTATATTCATTGTTACACTTTTAAATGAGAGTTTCGGAATAATATAGTTAAAAACTAAAAAGGTCTTTAGCAAGCTGTTTTAAAGTACATCTAATGTATTAGCCAGGAGAGTGTTGTTTAGCAATAAAAGTTACAATTATAGTAAAAATTTACATTTATAACTTGGGTATTATTAAAACTTAGGCTCTTTTAAAATTGCTGGACCTAATTTAAATCTAAATCTTTTTTTTAAAATGATAATGACTAAACCTGGCTAAAAGCCACTCTTGCCAATTCATCTGGGAAGGGCCCCAGCAGAATTTGACGGCTTTCATCTTTATAAAAACCACGTCCAAAGTAAGGAGCAGTGTAAACGTACTCTTTGCAAGGTTTAGAGGGTATTACTATAACCGAAAAAGTATTATTGACACCAACGAGGGCTGAAGCCAAGGCGAGGGAACACGCACAAACATCCAAAGTAACCAAGATAAACAAATTGCTTATTATAACAGATTTTGAATGAAAAACCCTTTTGTTTTTATGATTTGCTCTCTTACAATAGGTATAAATTATGAGTTCTGTAGCAGGCAGTTCTGGTATAAATAGGTAAGCATAAGCTGGCATAGGGACATTCCAAGCTCTTTCACTGTTAACCGTTTTATTAAGGTATCCAAAACACCCGATGTAAATTCAACAACAAAAAATGCTAAAGAGGTTGGCTTTAAAGAATGCAATAATCCTGATCCTCAAGCTAAATATTAATAAGGGGTAAAATATATGAGCCTTTAAGGCTTGTACGAAAAGAAAAGGTAAAACAAAGATATGCGAACCTAGTGCGAGAACACAAGCTACCTTTTGATGTAGTTACATACTATAACTGAAAATTCAAAAACCATCCAAAAGGACGCACAAACTATAAATAAAATGTATAGCGAGTGCTTTGGCTTACTAAAAATTTTCGTTTGCGAATCTTTCGGTGGTAACTACGTTACCAACGGTAGCCAAAGTAACAGCAATGAATCTTAAAAAAAAAAAAGCTAAAGTTATAGAGGCGTATACAAATTAGCTGATATTATTTTTATTAACTATACTATACCACTTACTGAAGGAACGAGAAGTGTGTTCCAGTTAGCCCCCTGTTGCTGTGCACGCTTATAGAAAAGTGGTACTCATAATTAGCTCTAGTAAAATCACTACGAAGCGAGAGTCTCCGCCAAAAAGCGACCATCGCAAGCCCAGAAACTGTTTACCAGATGACTGAATTTTTTTTCAACTTTTACAGTTCGTCTAATAAATAATGCTCAAGCATTTTCATTTATGGTAACGTATGGCGCCTAAAATTGTTTTGTTCTTTTCACGGATTGCTTGGCAATTATTGCTAAATTATGATATCGTTATAATTTGCTAATAAAATAACACGAAAGTTAATTGGCTTTTATCTTAACAAAAGCGTGAATTATCCTGTAATTTGCTTTCATTTTTTTTTGTGGGTGGTATATAGTGATGATCAAACATTATTCGAACTAGTGTTGTTATATGTTGAGTTTCTTATATAAGTAAACCTACTCTGTAATAGTAAAATAATTATTTTTGTTATAATATTATAGGAAACTATAATTGACTAAATGTCATACATGTTTTAAGGGAAAAAATGCGGTTTAAAGTTAAAAAATATACAAATTAATTAACTTTTATGTGCTATACTTTTAAATGAACTTTTTATATAAAATTCTAAATTATAGAATTATTAGCATCCTTTTTTTGAGTTTTTGATCAATAACAATCGAAGAATTATTATATAAAGTAGGTACTTAAAAGACATATTTATATAAAGCATTAATTCTATTAATTCTGTTTTTACTTTAGACCAAGAAGGTAATATACTAAATTCCATGATTGCTTCTGTATTCTAAAAGTGTGACCACTTTTGTTAAGGTTGCCCGTAAAACAAAGAAGGTGGCCTTAGTTTATGAGCGGCACGCTTTACAGAATTCTTGCACAAAAATAATCGTAAAAATAATCTTTAAAGTTAGTAGCTTAATGACGAAATAACGGAAATTATACTCTATAAATATTTGTTGGGATGCTAAAACTGATGTTAATAAGTGTATGTAAAACTATATTTTTAGTGCTCATACTCGAAACCTGTTGAAAAACCTACAATACTTTCTAAACAGAAAGTACTATGCACTAAATCTTTTAAATAATTGGTTTTCGTCGTAAAAAAAAAAATAACTTTCAAAGCAATACTGTTAAATAACAAAGTTAAAGTTAAAATAATTTCAACCAATTTTATCGTAGTTCTTAAGAGGGCTATTATAAAAATTTTCTATTTTTCTCATATATAATTAGCTCTATCACAACTTTTCTGGTCAATTTCTTATATTGATTAGCTATTACAATAAAGTTAAGAGGTCCTTAACATAATAATTCCCACTTATATTAGAGTAGTTACAGATTTGCAATTTCATGGTAACATTTGCGGTTACTAAAAAATTTAATGCTCTAAATTCTATAAAACTAGAAAGAAACACTTTGGCATAATTAATGCGTAAGGTTTATATTAAAGTGTAAAAAAGGAAAACTGTTAATTCTCTAACAATGAGACTTACTTTAAGTCTACACAATGTTTACATATTTTTTAAACTATTTTATCAGAACAATGTAGTATATACAAATAAAATTTTGACAAAATAATGTTAGCTTGGAGAGTATGTGAGTTTAAAGTTTTGACTGAGCCATTAAATTAAATTTACAGAGATTTTTAAATCCTATCAGTAGATAAACCAAGCTCCAAAGCGTGGGTGTCACTTGTTATGAAAATGATGAAAAGCATAAGCATAAAAAAAAGTCAACTATTTTTTCTTCCAATTTATTATTAAATAAAATAACAATTAAGTTTCGACTGGTAATGGCGAGCATTTTTATATAGTAATTAATTAACGCAAAAGTTTTTAACTTGGAGCGAGAAGTAATATCCATGCTAAAGGCTTGCTTTTCTTTATATTCTCTAGAAAATGTTTGTGCACTAGGCTTCCTTTGGTTATTAGACTTTTTAATTTTTTTAATTAATATTTTACTGTGGATTACATAATTATTTATGAAATTTTTATTTTTTATATTCACTTTTGCCATCTTTCGGAAGTCCCTTTAATTTTTATTTTCTATTGATGAGTGCCACCCTTACTTTATATTGTAAATTGGTTAATAAATAAAAAACAAAATGTATAAAGTAATAATGGTAAAATAGTTTTACGTTGTATTTATTTTTAAAATGTGAGTCTAGACAATGAGACGATGGGAGACTGCATCTCTAAATCTCAAGGCTAAACCTTTAAAAAAATTGCTTTCAAAGAAAAAAATTGTGTAGTTCAAGAACACTTTATAGAATAAGGAAGAAGTTTCTGCGTTTATAATGTATAAACGCGAGATATATGATTTTTTAAATTTACAGAGACTCGTTCACAGTTGTTTGGTAAAATATACGTCGTTCATTTTTATACACCGGTATTTTAGTTATATGCTCTCAGTAGCTCACACTCAACCTGTACTAGATAATCGCTATCATGGTCTGGGTTTACATAATAATAATTCTTTTTTTTTTTAATTTCCTACACATAATATATGAATTCATGGTCCCTGATAACTACCTTACGAATATGTGCTATCATTTTATAACACAAGTGCATTTATAACATAAAATGATCTTGAAGTTTTTTACTGAGCTATAGAAAAGTGGAGTGCCACGATCAGTGTACTACCGCAAGCTAAAAAAATTTTAATTGCTTTAACTTCATTATCTTCTCTAACATAAAGCCAAGGAAGACATAGAAGGCTCCTCGAAATATAAATTCAAATGAAGTAACTTTTAAACCGTGTCTTATTTCTTTTTAAACCTATTAATTTTTTTACTAATAAAATATATACTTAATTTTTATTCTACTCTTATTTTACTTCTTAAGTCAACTGTTTTCAGAAAGTCTTAGACGTTGTATAAATTAAACCTTAGCGATTAATAAAAAGTTATAGGACAAGGCGCTTTATTAAAGGTGGAACAGCGGGTTACACGCCCACCCTGAGGACCAAACCAAAAAGACTGTCGCGCCTTTTTCTGGTACTGCTGTTTAAAACTTGATGTCAATACCCATTTTAACTGGACAACTAATAAAATCTGCCTATATTAATCTTTATTCTACTCTGTTTAACCTTCTTAAGTCAATTGCGCTTAGAAAGCATATTCTGCGAAGGTTAGAGTCAATAGATCAACTTCAGTTTTAGTAAGTACATAGTTATTTTATATTTTTAACCTAATTCTTACTTAACAATAACTGCCAATCCTGGTCGACCATAACTTTTACAAAAGTTGGCCATCTTCAAAATTTTTTATTTATTGTGCACATTACTCCTGTTTAAAAAACTTTATATCTTTCACTCAAAATAAAAAAATTCAACAATATACACCTGTGTTGACTACAGCTATGGTATCTTTTTAAAAAGTTTTATGTTCTATTCAACATGACTTCCGGGGCTAAAAAGTGAAGAGAAAAAATCCGCAATACTCATAATATTCAATTATAAATTGGTCCATTCATATACCTTTACAAGAGATATTTTTAATAAAAATTTTTGTTTATTAGACGGATTGTAGATATGCCGATACTGATCTGCCTGTTAGAGTTTATGTACCGATTCTTTTTAGAATAATTTCTCAGAAATTTATTCGGTTTTTCGTTTGTTAGTTGTTTTTACGAAGTATCGGTATACTGCTTCTATCCATTGTAAATGATTTTAAGCAAGTTTGTGTTCCCTATTCTTATTGGTATAATTTATTAATATTGACTTGCTTGTTAAAGTTTGTGTTTGCTTGTCTTCCTTATATATTTCTAAGCTATTTATTTTGTTTTTAATTCGTTCGATGTTCGTTAAGTAGTTGACCTTTAATTAGTTTATTTGCGTTATAATCTCGAATGTAATCTCTCTGTTAGTTAAATTAATTTTTTTTTGTATAAAAAGTTCTAGATGCTATGTATAAATAATTTTATGTCCGAAGATCTCAAGTCTATATGTATATTCTTTCTAATATTAAGTTTCAAAAAAAAAAAGTTTTGTTTTTATAGAAAGTGTTTTAATATTTTCTGCCCTAGATTCCAGTGACTTTCCTGGTCTTGCCCTTTTTCTCTCAATTGGTAAGGGCTACAAACACACAAACTTGTAAGACCAGAAAAAAGTTCTAGTTTAATAAATTAAAATTATTAGAGTCGTCAGCCACAAGAAAGTAGTACAACTGCTCTAATAAAAAGAAGCTTGATTGTGCTGTCAAGAATTTCAAGTTATGTAATAATAACTTTGTTTAATTTGAGTATTTAAGGTTTCAAAGATAAGTATTTCTACGACACTAAAAAAAGTGATACAGCAATTTTATGTTTAATACATGCAGGTAAATATTACGTACATATATCATAATCGCTTAGGCAATGATAGGAATTGAACGTTAAGCTCGTTAGCTCTTTTTTCTTCGCACGGGTATGAATGTTTCTTTTTACTCTCACTAGGCATATTATTTAACGCACCAATAGGTATAGCCTCCTATGAAGATGGCCGAGCGTTGTGTATAAGCGTCGTTATCAATAAAAAAATTAAATAGACGTATGCACTTAACTAAATATGAGACAAGTGAAAAGGAACTGAACAAAGTATAGGAGAACGAACATGGCTAAGGACTTTAACTTGGGAAGATGCAGCCAGATACACACACGAGCCTTTAGAACGGGTTTTTGGTTAAACTGTTTTTGGCTTAGTTATGTCTTTTCTGCTCTCATTTTACCTATTTACCTAAGTTTGAACTACTTAATTTGCTGACATCCTCATAAAACATTATTCGTTGGGTTATAAGCGAACAAAGCAATATGTACATCGTAGAAAATTTCTTAAAAGTATTTACCCTTGTAAATTTTAAAAGAAAATCGTTGTAGCAAAAATTTGTTTTATAATGTTTCATTAAGAGTTCAACAAGCTTGTGTTGAGAATTATTAGATTCTTACGTAAGAATTAGTTTGCAAGTCCGTCATATATAATTTCCTCAAATAATGTAAGGTACCTTTGATGTTTTTAATTTTTGCTTCAGAATATCTTCCTGTTTATAAATGCAAATTTGCTACAGTATATTTTTTTAAATTAAAACATAGTTTTAAATAAAATTGGTTTGGGCACCCTGTCATGATTCAGCTCCATTTTAATCCTAACTCACAAGCTTACCTGCCATGTCAATACTTTCCTGCTTGTAAATGAATACTTAGAATACTCTATGTAATAAATGAGCTAAATTTACTCCTTTTAAAGACTTAACCCACTTATATAAATTCTGAGACTTTACTGATCATAAAGTAACAACTAAACTCTTCCGAGAATCTATAAAAAGTGAAAGAGTTTATTTAAACACTAATTTTAATGTAGTAAACCAAATGAAGGTCTTTTTTTCTGAGATGGAAGAAGTGTGTAGTACAATTAGAAGAAAATTGTAATTAACACAGAGAATAAGAGCCGATAAAGAGGAGTATTAGACCCCATTCGGTTTGTTACAATATAAACGAAACTTTGCCCGCCCATAGCCGACCAAATGTGTATATATACACCTAAGTAAAAGTAACAAATAGTTAAGCGGTATAAAGAACTTAAAATAAAAAATTTAGGATCAAATATTACATTATGCCCCACGTCTCAACTCCTTTGACAAATTATATGAAGAGATTCGGTGCGATCCCCGTCATCGAGAAGAATATTTTGTAAAACGCGCGCAGGGTAAATGTTTTTTCTGAGTTTAGAAAAAATTTTTCTGCCTATCATGTCTCGCAGTCATTAGGAAAATTTATACGAACGTTTACTTTAATAGAGTGGATCAATCGTCTAGAAGGGTGCATAAAAAAATTTAAATATGAGGACCCAGTGGTCATCTCTGTCTTGTACGTTAGCTTAAGTCATTTCTATTTTGCCGTCTAGATTTAACTATTCGACCAAAAACTGCTAATAATTTCTCCGCTACACTCAGGGCTGATCCGAAATCATCAGTAATGAAGACTCTCTGCCACCGCATATGTTTTCATATTTCTTCAATAAGTAACCCGAAATACAAAATATATTTTCATTTTCTTAGAATATAAAAGGCGGTAAGCAACTTTACCTTTTTTTTTCTGTTACTTTAAAAGGACCGTGAAATCTATAGTTCAAACTTTTATGAATTCAGGGGTTTTTATATTTTAACACCTCTTGGTCGTTTAATATTCTTGTTACATAGGTAAGATCTTAACTGTAATCACAACAGAAGTTTGTACTCTGGAAACAGCTTTCGGAGTTGGGGGTGTAATAGTATGTTAGCGTTAAATTGATGTTGAAAGCTTATACAGCGCCAAGGATGAAAGCTTTTGTTATATAAAAACCTGGCAGGAAGAAATAGTCAACCTAATCGTCTAGTAAGTAATTGTTAGGGAACCTAAGATATCGCTCAGTTACCTAATTTTCCACTTCCCAAGCTTCGTGAGTTTAAGGAATTAAAAGCAGATAATAAATTAACCTTGCACTCTAGAAGTTTAAATAAGTTAACTTAAAACATGGAAAAAATCTGGAAACCACGATTAAAATATATACTATTAAAAAAAGCATGCAATTTAAATGTTTTTCATAAAGCGATTCGCAACTTTTTTGGAGGTTAGAAATTTGGAGACTGGGAGGAAGTGGCACGTTTCAGAGTGACAATATCTACTATGTATTATGGCGTCGTAGTTATGGACTAGGCAAAGATCCGTAGTAAATCCATAAAACGACTCTCCCGTAATTATTTAAAGTTAAGAGGGATTGTAACAGCTCGTAAGCTAATGTCGAGCCGTTTTCACTCTTTGACCAGTGTGACAACCAATGTAACTGGAAATCTCCCTCTTCATACCAGGCCAGATAAAATATCGAATAATTAACTTAAAATTTTTACTTATCTCAAAATGCCAAGCCCATGCCCAATAATTAAAAACTATAAATTCTGAGATGAAAAGACTAATATATTGTTTTTAAAATACAGTGCGCAGTATTATAATAAAATTGACTGGTAGAGTGTTTGCTTTCCTTGTAGGCAGATCACAATTTGGAGTTTCACGTTTCCTTTGTATTTGCGCTAAAATATTATTATCAGTAAATATAGATAAAGTGCTCAAGTAAGTGGTTTTTTTAAGAAAAGAAAAGGTAAAAGGAGACAGAACCTAGGAATTGCGCTGAGCTCTAATTAAGGAAGACGCAAGAGAAGTCAGGTCAAATATTATCCTTTCCTGGACTATATTAAAATATTAAATTATGCACAGTTGTGCTCCTATTTAGTATCTGCTCCCGCTATAATATTCTAGGTTTTCAGTGCCAAGTAGTGTTTCCAAGTTTTAAGAGCCCTAATTGCAAATAATTCTTTATTAGATGTATGATAGTTTAACGAGTGTAGGCCTTCTTCATAGCCTTGATTAAGGACAGCTCCCATCACAACCTTGAGAACAAAATCGATATATTTAAAAATGGGAGCAGAAACCAACCTTATTTTAAGCTCCATGAAAACGTCAACTTGTTTTGTTTCCCAACAAAATTTACTGTCTTTCTTAAGGCCCTCTTGAGGGCTTAACCGGATTGGAGTAGCCACGTATAAAGCTCCGATAAAAGTTTACAAACCCCAAATGTTGTAAAATCTGTTTCTTATTTCTTAGTGCGCCCCACTGACTAATACAATTTATCTTTGAGGGAACCAACTTTTTAACGTCCTCCGTTCATTAATGAATCCTAAAAAGCCAATAGTTTTAATATCAAAAGCACATGTTTCAGGCCTAACACCCCAATAATGTTTCCTTAAGGTTTTTAAAACCAGTTTATTATGCCCCTCTACGCCTTTACCACCATATAGAACTTCCTAAATATGTCGTTCATGAAAGATTGGAAAGACCAGGAGGGTTACCTGGTTTTACATAGTTCGAAGTGGCATCGAAAGGTCGTCTTCCATTCACCATTCATCATCCCTTCAATGCGCCCTGAATATGCACCGAGCGCAACCAGGCTGGTAAACATTATTGACCCCGCAAGGGACGAAATAATTTGGTTTATGCGAGGAAGCCCGACCCTAACCTTTATGTTATCTGTTATTATCAGTTTTCTACTTAATTTTCCTCTTTACTAAATTCATTTACACTTTAAAGCAGTTAACAAGAGTGTGAAGAAGTATTGTAGTCACGAGTTTACTTCAGAATGAACCCATTGTGAAAAAACAATGAAAAAACAAATTTGTTAATTTAAAATATTGGAACTTATAAAATTGTAACCTGGATCTGATTCAGGTCAAGAAAATTATCATAGCTCTTTTATACAAAAAAATTAGAGAGCATATACAAGAAAAAAAAAATTAACAAAGGAATATACATATTTATAAGCGCATAACATAGTAAAAACAGTGTTTGTTAATGACATGAAGTACATAAACCGCAACCATAGTTTCGAGAATAATTTCGAAGTTAAATATATAACCAAATTTTTTTTGATACTTTGAAAATTTTTTTAAAGTACAATTTATACTTTCCTTATGGGTATTAATATTCTATAACTTTCATATTCTACTTGTAAATAATTAACTATTTTGATACCGAGCCAGCTATTACCACATTGTGTATGTTTTTCCGAAAAAAGGGTTAGATAATTATTCAACCACATTTCTGTAAGTAATCAAACAACAAAAGTACAATTTAAATAAACACTTTAGAAAAAAATTTATTACGATGCACTGAATATAAGGAAAAATGTTGCGAGAACTTAAAGAAGTTAAAAGCTTTTAGTTGAATTTCAGATTCCCCGATTGCTCACTTCCATTTATGGAAATATTATTTAGTTTGGCAACACTTCTAGTTGCTAAAAATGATTCTTCTACTTTTTTTTAGTCATGAGATAGAGATGTTTATTGCGTCTTTCTTATTTTTTTATATAATTAATTTTGTTTTGTTTTAAAAATAAAGGCATGCGCAAAAGTATTGCCGTATTAACAAGTGGTGGGGATGCCCCAGGAACGTAGCATCATTTTCTTTATATATAATAAAAAATACACTAATAAAAATTTATATTTTAAAAGAAAACCTTTCATCATATTTCAATAGGAATGAATGCTGTTATAAGAGCAGCTGTTAGAATAGGAATAAATAGCGGCCATCATGTTTACGGAATTTATGAGGCATAACTTTCATTTCAACTCCCTACGTTTGTGGGTAAAAATAGTTTTATAGGGTTTTCAAGGCCTTGTGGATGGGAATATAAAAAAGCTGTCCCTTTTAGATGTTTCTTTAATAATACAACAAGTTTAGCCTCTATAATGTTTTATATTAAAACTTTCAACATTAACTTTTGGTATAAATCTGGATAATACCTAAAATGAATGTTATTCTATACATAATTTTAATTAAGGGAGGAACTATAATTGGTACAGCTAGATGTGCTGCCTTTCGAACAAGAGAAGGACGTTTAAAAGCTGCCAAAAATCTAATAGGAAGAAAAATAACTAAACTGGTAATTTTTATTAAGAAATTTAAGTGAACTTAAGTTGTTTAAAAATATCTTTTTAGCTTAATTTTATTCTCCTATCATAACTTTTGTACTAGTTTGTTGTTTTTCTTATCAATTTTGTTAACTTCAATTTAAAACTTACAATTTTCTAAATTTTATTTCAACGCAGTGGATAAAGTATATCTATAATATAAAAGTATATTATTTAATTTATTTTTTACAATCTCAGTATAGTTAGAGTAATTTTTCTGTTTCTTGAGTACAGTTTATCAAGTTATACAATGAATTTTTATGGGAAATTACTTTTCAGTTTTTATTTATTTATATATCTATCAATTTTTGTAGTAAAAACTTGATTATTAATTCTTAGGAGTTTTATATTTTTTTATGAAGTTTATGTTTGCTTTCAAAATCGTTATAATATTTTTTTATTGAATTTTTGTGTTTGGAGTACATATTTTTTGTATGCATATAATAATGCTATAGATTAATTTAGGGCTTTTTAAAACTGATAGATTTGTTGCGGCGGTGATGGCAGTTTAACAGGAGCTAGTAAATTTAAAAACGAGTGGAGTTCTTTGTTAGAAGAACTTTACGAGAAAAGTCTTTTTTATTTTTCTTACTTCATAATTAAATTTATACTTCTTTACTTTTGAGATTTTTAGTTTTTAAATTTAACTATTTTGCGATTTTATGAAGATTATTAGTATAATTTTATATAAAAATAAATAATTAAAAATTATGTTTACTTATCTATTAATAGTTTGTTAATATCTTTTTTAAAAATAAAATAGAAGAAATCTCTAAAGAAAGTTTAGATTCTTGCCAGGATTTGAACTTAGTCGGTTTAGTTGGCTCTATTGATAATGATATGGTCATTTCCCCCCCCCCCCTCCTTTCTAATATCTATTCTTTTTTTTCTTCATGTTCTAGTTTAACACTATTAATATTACAATAATAATAATTTAAACTTCTGTAAGGTTTATAAAGGCGATCTCACTATTGGCACCGACACCGCTTTGCATAGGATTGTTGAGTGCGTTGATAGTGTGCTAAGCACCGCACAAAGTCACCAAAGAGCTTTTGTTTTGGAGGTAATATTATTAATAAACTTTACTAAGAGGATTGTAATGGTATTCAAGGTAACATAATTTTTTAGTACAGATTGATATTTTATAACTATAGTAGAAAACCTCTCCATTCGATATGTTACATACATTGTTTATAATTATAATAGTAATAATAATAAAACGTTAATATAAAAGAAGCAATTATTTTATAACTATAGTAGAAAACCTCTCCATTCGATATGTTACATACATTGTTTATAATTATAATAGTAATAATAATAAAACGTTAATATAAAAGAAGCAATTTTCATTATAAAATTTGAAATAGTTTTATGAAGACATATATATATATTAAAAAGATATAGTGTCTTGCTTATAATAACATTAATATATATATATAAAGTATATATATTGAAGTAATAAAGGTAGTTTAAAAAAGCTATTGTTGAGTTGCTGAATTTATATTCACCACGAGGATATACCTTATTTTAGCAAATGAAAAAGTTAGTATATTTAAGTTACTTTTGAATAGTTTTTGTTTGGTTTATTTTAGCTATAACTTGAGCCAATGCACGCCTTTTCTATTGTAGCTTTTTTTCATATATAATCAAATTTTTATGCATTTATTTATAAAAAGTAATAAAAATTTTGTAAAATTTGTTAAAATTATTATTATAAATTATCATATATATAAATGAGATAAAATTTATTAATAGTAAAACACCAAAAAAAATTATGATTAAATTCTTCTAAAAATAATTTAGTAGGACTACTGTATGCCTGCCTACTGGGAATGATAGGCTTTTTTAAAATTGCTTATATAGCAATTTAAGATAACAAACTTACCAAACACTATCACATACTAATTTTTTTGATCTCTGTAAATTTTACTATTCAGAACAAAAGTTTTGTATTTTTTATAAACCTTTTTTAAGTAATTTTTTCTTGCAATATCCCTTTTTAGTGATTTTCATAATATAATAATACCGATATTATATTAAAAATATAAATTTTAAAGGTAATGGGAAGAGAATGCGGATACTTAGCTTGGGGAGCCTCAGTCGCATGCGGAGCTGACTATGTTATTATCCCCGAGTCGCCCCCCGTTGATGGCTGGGAAGATTTTCTTTGTAGAAAGTTTGAACTGAGAAGGAAACTGGGAAGAAGAGTTAATCTTGTTATTATTGCTGAAGGTTTCGTTATAATTATATTTTAATAATATTAATAAGTAGTGCAATTACAACAAGTAATATGCATTATGAAGTATAGTAAAATAAATATAAATTAGAGGGTTTTATTTGGCTGCAATATACATAAAATAGACACTTTTAAGCGGAAATACTTCTGTAATTGTTATTTATTATTGTTATATCATTTTTTTTAAAAACTTCTTTAATAAAGTTCCTAATAGTTAATCAGACGAACACTTCGCTTAATATTATAATATATATTATAGGCGCTACTGATGTTCACGGAAACCCCATAACTACTAATTATGTTGTGGATGTTATACGTAACAATCTTGGTTATGATACGAGGTTATTACTAACAACAGTAATAGAAAATTACAATTGTAATACTAATACTAATAATTATATATTAAAGTTTTAATAGTTTGCTTTTTAAAAACCTGCAAACGCTAAAAAAAACTATAAAAACCTTCTTACCTGATTATTCATGTGTAATAGTAAAAGTTTTATATAAATAACTGGAAAAAGAAATGCTAGTGAAAAGATATTAAAATAACTATGATATAATAATATAAACACTGCAAGGTCAACAATTCTTGGACACGTCCAGCGTGGCGGCCGTCCGTCGGGGTACGATAGATTTATGGTAAATTAATATTATTATTACTTTGATTCTAATTAATAACATTACTGGCACTGTAGGCAACTATTACGGCCACAGAAGCTGTGAAACACGTGCTCCGAGCCTCCTGCAAGGAGCCCGCTCAAATTGTAGGGTTGTGCGGGACCCACGTGGTCTTCTGTCCGCTTATTGAAAGCGTTGCTGAGACTCAGAAAGTCTCAGAGTTGAGGGTGGAAAAAAAATATGAAGATGCAATGAAGTTATGAAATCATATAATACAGCATTATTTATTTTTTTATAAATCAAATGCTTATTTATTTACTTATGCTTTTTCTGGTTATTTATAGTTTTTATTATAGTTTATGTTTTTTAATATGTATTATTACTGTATATTTTTTTTTCATATTTTAAAAATATTATTTTATTTTTGATATTCTTTATGTAATAAATTATTGTATTATAATTATTTTAGGCAGCGAGGGGAAACTTTTAGAAGAGATTATGAATATTGCATAGCAGTCAACCGCTCCACTCCTAAAAAAAGGCCACCAAACTTTGGAGAAGTATATACAACTATATTAGTATATTGACTATTTCATAAAGTGTATATAAAGTTAAAAAGAAAAAAATCGCATTGAAATTAAACAGTTTTTATACCTTTATTGTAAGCAAGTGTTGCATTTTTAGAAATCTTTACTTTTAAAATAAATAATATAAAGGTAAATTGTTGTTTATAAACATAAATTATTATAATATAAAAGTTGTTTATTTGAATACTATATAAATAAATGAATAAATGCGTTGCATTAATAATATTTGTATTATTATTATTCTAGTATAATAGGTTTTGTTTTACGGTTATTTTCTTATTAATATAATTAATATATATATTAACTATTAATAAAAAATTACTAAATAAAAAAAAGGATAAGTGCATTGCTATTATCTGCGTTGGTGCTCCCGCTGCTGGAATGAACAGGTTTGTATTATTAATATCAAGCTTCATAAAGCTTTTGTAATTTATCTAATTTCGTTCATTTTATTTATATCATTATTATCAAAAAGTATATAAATAAATATATATAATCATTTTATTATTCATTTACATATTTTAAATTATTATTTAACATCAGCGCTGTAAGAGCAGCAGTTCGCTTATCATTGAATCTTGGCTATACTACTTACGGAGTTCAAATGGGTTAAATATTTAAAGAAGTGTAGTTTTTAAATAAATATTAAATAATATATTTTATTATAACTCATAAAATATAATTATAAATTAAGAAAAAAAAATGGAAATGTACCTAAATAAATAAAAATATTAAGCTAAAGAATAACAATGATATCAAATAATTCATGTAAAAAATTTGCAAGGTTTAATAATATTAACAGAAAAAAGTAAAGTAAAAATAATATAAATTATAAATATAAATGTATTGAGACTTATAATAATAATTAATATAAGTAAAAGTAATAGTAATCTTATAAAAATGATTATAAATAATAAAGTTTATTACCAAATGTTTCGTGACTTCGATAATAATAATAAATAAAAGAACAATAAGAATATTACTAAGTATTGAGAGTTGTAATAGTAGTTACGAGTAAATATATAAATAAAGAGTTATAAATTAAATAATATTAATGAAGAAAGAGTAGTAATTTATTTTAAAATATAAATTTATAAAGATTAAGGAAGGACGACCAAAAAATTATAACAATAATAATAAATGATATAATTATAATATTATAGAAAATTAATAATTATTAAAGTTTAATAGTAATAAGAAATAACAGCAGTATTATTAATATTTGAACATCATATTATGAGAAATAAATACAATAAATTGCAAGAAAAAGTAATAAGATGTAATACTAATTTTAATAATAATAAATAATAAAGATATACTAAAAATAATTATTATTTATTTTAGTAATTATTCAGTATACTGATAATAAGCTAATAAATAAATATATTACAAAGAGAAAGATGATGGATTATATAAATGAGGTTTAAAATTGTATTTATTATAATTATATGCTTGTTCATAAAAAAATTTAATAAATCAATTATACTTATAATAATATTAAACGACGAATAAAAATAAGCAGTGAATTTTATAAAAATACAAATACATAAATTGTTGTATACAAAATAATTATATTTATAATAAGTATTATAAATATATTACTATTTATTATCTATTTATTAATGACAAAAAAATTAATAATAAATATACTAGACTTTGAAAAGTTAAGATAAATGAACAAGTAAACGGTGAATATAAGTAAAATAATAATAGTGATATACTTTTTTTAAAGAAATAATTATTAAAAATAACGGTGAATAAAAAAGAGGGACTATTAAAAGTTTGTATTATCTGAAATTCTAAACATGTAAGTAAAGTAAACAATAGCAGATTATAGTAAATTTTTTATATTAAAAATAACTATATAGAAGTAAATACTAATTTAATAATAAATAAATAAAATATAGTAATGTAAGGAGGTAAATATGAGCTCAAAGGGTGTATACAAATAAATATAGAAAACTAGCAAATAAATAAATAGTAATATGTAAAAGTGTTTATTATAGTACATTAAAAGCATTCAATACTATAGTTATAGTATAATATTTACTTCCTTTTAAGGCTTTTGCGGTTTTGAAAATGACGAACTTTTAAAGCTAGACTTTATGAGTGTTGACAATTGGGGACTTTTAGGTAAGTTTCCATTAACTTTCCTTTTATAATAAGAAAAGTTTAAAAGAAAACCTTCTGGTGTATTATATATATCAACAGTAAATTTACAAAAAATATATATTCAAGGCGGGGCTCAGTTAGGAACCAATCGCGTAAGGCCAAAGAACTTTCAGAAAATAGCTGAAACTATCAAAAATCGTAAAATTGTGTCTTTGCTGGTCGTTGGTGGATTTGAAGCGCTTACTTCCGTTTGGGATATTGTATTATTATTAATATATTCATTATCATATTATTTTATAGTTAACTATTATCAATATTTAGAAAGCTCAACAAGGAAACCGTCCAGAATTGAAGATACCTATAGTTATTGTACCAGCGACCATAAGCAATAACGTTCCTGGTTATTTACTATTATTATTATTATTATTATTATTATTATTATTATTATTATTATTATTATTATTATTGTTATTAAAGGGACGGAATGGTCGATCGGCTGTGACACAGCTGTCAACGCTGTCGTTGATGCCATAGATCGGTAAAGTTGTTCCTCTTTTTCTTTTCTTATAGCGTTATTATTACATTGTAGACTCAAATATTCTGCAGATGCCCTACGAAAGAGACTTTTTTTCGTAGAAACACAAGGTCTTCTTTCAACTTCCTTTGTATATACTTATATTTTCACTATTTTTAATGAATTTTTTTTAGGCGCCAACTGTGGGTATCTTGCGTTTGTTAGCGCCTTATCCAGTGGCGCAGAAACGGTGTATCTCCAAGAAAAAGAAGTTTCCTTAAGTCTTCTTACGGTACTTTTTGCGACTGAAATAATTTTTTTTAATTGTTAAACTAAAAAACATAATTTCAAGAAAGATCTCGATTTTGTTCATAGAAGAGCCACGGAAGGCACCATGCAGCAAATGGTTATATTAAAAAGTTTTAACTATAATATTTATTACGATATATCATAAAAGAAGAAGTCATTTCACTAATTAAAACGGAGAAAAAAAGTTTATTAAATTTTATTTTTTAAAGGTTTTTGTTAGAAGTGAGGAATGCAATCCTGTTTATGATATTGACTTTATGGCAAAGTTGTTTGAAGAGGAGGGAAAGAGTAATTTATTGTTTTTATTGGTAAAAAAAGAAAATTTTAAAAAAAATTCTAATAGCTGCTTTTTCTGTGCGCAAACTCGTGCTGGGCCACCTTTGTCAAGGTTTTTCCTTGTCAAAATCTTATTATAAAAGCGCTATAGTATAATTCCCATAAGGCTTGCATCCATCCCCGTTGGATAGAATACGGGCCTTACAATTATCAGTGGCTGCTATAAATTTCCTTGATGAGCAAGTAATTTCAACAGATTAATATTATTTAATTATTGTTATTTATGTAATAATTGATAATAAATGTATTTAAAATTATGAAAAATTTAATGCTAATTTTCTACAGATTGCTCATAATAAGTGTGAAACAACACTTGTTGGTTTTCTTGATAATAAAATCCGCTTCGTCAATGTTTCTGATCTTCAAAAAGAATGCGTTCTTGAAAAGAGGAAGCCGAAGAAACACTGGTTTACGGAGTATACGGACTTGTTGGAAGAGCTGCGCTGCTTTAACTGCGAAGGACTTGAAGAATCTTAAGTTAACTTTATAATAAAATATATTTATTATAGTATTAAAGGAGATTATATTATAAGAAAAGTTAATTTATAATAGAAAGTCCCAGATTTTACAATTTTTAGGTTGTTTTACTTTCTTGCAACTTGATACTTACTGGAAGTGAGCCCACACTTGCTTGTTACTTCTTTGCGTGAAAAATACCTTTTCATAGTTTTTATTTGCTCTTTGGGTTGTAAATTAGTAGCTTAGAAAACAGAGCCCAAGGAATACGTGGAAAGTGATAGATAGTTAATAATGCTCAGGCTATAAAACATACTAGCTAGTCATTTTTTCTTAAGGGGCCAACCTTTTTGCAAAATGTTATTTCTTAAAAACTTCTAACTTGATGCGAGCCCTTTGCTATTTTCTTAATTACTTAGTGCTGTTGTTACTCCTAAATCACTTGCGAATTGCGCTTTACCATATGTGTCTAATTTTTTTTCCAAGGTAAGTTGGTAAGTATGAGCTCTATTACGTACTTTCACCTATAGTAATCCTGATCCCATAAAAGTAGTTTATCAGAGTTTAAGAATAACGCCTATGAGAGTTGTAGAGAGGGAAAATAGATAGAAGGTTTGTTAAAAAGGGCTGCGCGAGCATCAAAAGTTTTTATTTACAGGGGCGAGTAAGAGTTTTACAAAACATATATACATCCAAACTTTCCTAATCGGGAAAATTAAAGATTCAAACTCTAAACTGAAGAGTCCAAATCATAAAAGTATGTATGCCTCCTTATACGCTACATATTGGTTGCAATTTATCCTAGTCTCCTCTTTTATCGGTACAACAGCGTACGCACCTCCAGCATACCCAAACTTATACTTTATAGAAATTTAAAACACAGGGTTACTGTATAAAATAAAGTCTTATCCTGCCTAAAAATCTTTACTATTACTAAAAAATAACAAACTATCAACTAGTGGTCCTCTAGACTACTAAAATTCCTTTCTACCTCCGTCTTAAACGCCCTTTAAACGTTTAGGTTTTATACTGCTCTAATTTTCTATACTAAAACTTTTTAAGCATATCGTGGTCCTCTAAACCAACTTCGAACTACGATTACAAAGGTGCAAAGCCTCTAACAAACACTAAGGGGGAAAAAAAGAGTGAAGCAAATAAAATAAACAAGCCCCAAAATTATATATTTATACCATACATGTTCGGTATTATTAGCTGAGGCTATTCAATAATATATGTTAACTAATGCTCGCATTATTAAGAACCAAATCCATGGTGTATGGTAAAAATTCTTAACAGTTAAGGTTAAGGCATCTATCCCAGTGGGTGAGGATACCTTAATACGACCCTAAATCCATAGTTTCTCTGAGGATAGTAAGCACCCCCAATTAAACTCTTTACAGCCTAAGGTAATAAATCAAAAGAAGGGCCAACTTATAAGGCGGAAGACAAAACTAAGTCAAGTTGTGCACAGACAAGCATAGAATTTAGAATTAAGAGCTTGAAATAACTATAGAACTTAAAAGAAGAATACTGTAGGTAGAAAGGGGACTTAAAAAGGAAGTAAACAAAAAACGCATCAAACATAAAGTAATAGAATCGAACTGAATTTTTCTATTTATGAAATTTATGTGCTAGTCCATAAGACAATATTGCTCAGTCCTTCCTTTTCCTTTGTAGTGAAGGGTCGGAGAGTAAACTTAGAATTAAGAAAATCAACTTTTTACAGGAATCTAGTATAGAGAACATATTAGTTTTATTTTTTACATTGTAATTATTAAAATTATTCTTTAATTGTTATTATAACTTCTTATGTTATCATTATTATTATTATTATAATTATTGCTATTAAGCCAGTTGGGTAGGACCAATAGGTGTTTGGGTATATTCTATATTTGGTATATATACCACAGGTCGTAGGTTTTGATCATAAGTGGTAATTAGTCAAAGTGCAAGTCTGCTCAAAACATTTTTTTGCGTTGTTTTTAATTATTTCCTTAATAAAAAACAATTATATAGTCTCAGTGCAGATGCAAATTTTTTATAAACCATGAGGCGTTGGAAGAAAATTATTTTCTAGGATTGGTAGACTACCTTAAGTCTCTCATAGAAGAGTAGAGCCAGGTGAAAGGTAGGCATGTGAGTACAGGCTTTAACGTGTATTTATATAGAGCCGCCATTTCTTAGGTTTAACTTGCTCTTTTCGCCTAGCAGAGGGTATAAATTATTGCTAATAGTTCTTCAATATGTTAGTTAAGAAGTCTAAGTGAGCGTCTCGCTTGGCCTTGTGGCGAGCTTTATTAATTTTTGTAAGTTGCTCTCCTGGGGATATTTCTTTCTGCACAAGAACAGTATGGCCTTGCATTTTGTCGGCTTAAGTTTAAGAGTGAACCAGCTTTCAAGGAGGTCCAAGTGTGATTGCAAATTATTTATAGCCCAACGGAGCTAATAAACGTACGAAAAACAGTATTGACTTCGGATATATCAAAAGTGAAGATAGAAAACTGCAGAGGGGCAAAAGGGAGCCCTGTGGAACACCTGCAATAACGGTGTACTGATGAGAGGTTAGGGTTTCTATCTTGACCCTAAATTTCTATCTTTTATAAAGGACTTAAATATTTGATTCGAAGGAATAGTAAAGCCTGGCATTTTCAATATTAATTCTTTACGTCTTCAAAGGATCCCCCAAAATTTAAAGTACAAGAGTGGTAGCTTTTTGGAACGCTTTGGTAACGTGCTCAGTAAACCTCAAGATCAGTTGAATGATAAAACGACCCATTCGAAAGCCAAACTGTACATTAGGAATAATGAACTTTAACGCACAAAATTCTTCAGCCTGAAAATTTAATCTTTGAACGATGAGTAAGAAAGTGTGACTTGAAGTAAACGCTTTAAAAGAATGATAGATATTTATTAAAGACGCATTAAACCAGCTAGTAAGAAGAATTCCCACTAAACACCGTTGAGAGCTAAATTTAAGTGCAATACTAAGTGACAAGTTAACTCGAAAAGTAACGGGTTAAATTCGTAGTATTCAGAGTTATCGTCGTAGCTCAGCGATTCAGAGCACTGACACGCCTACTCAAGGTCGTGGGTTCTCTTTTTGGATCTTTGATGGTTGCGGATTTAATCTCGCACTCATAAATTCTAATAGAAAGCTCACACTGTGCCTTTAGTTTAAAAAACTGACTTAAAGATTTTACAGTAGACGCTATTATTTAAAAATGAAAAACTCTATATAGAAAAAAAAAACATATTATTAATTCCTCTTCAAAAATATAATAAAAAAAAAACCAATCATACTAAATACTTGGTGTCTCATGAAGTTTAGAGTTATTAAAATATTTTCCTATGTATATTCGTGAATCCTATTTGTCTGCCACTCACAAACTCATCGAGATTGCTGAACCCCTGACATTTTAAACCGAAAACAGTGTTCCTAAAGGTTAACTAAATCTGATACGCATATTTTCAAAAATAAAAGCTCTAAACTAATCGAAATTAGTTAATAAAAATTTAGAAACAAAAAAGTATATAAAAAGTATAACAAACTCAAAATTATAAATTAAACGATAAACTTTCATCAAAGATAAAACTGAATTATAAGAAAAAATGAAGAACACCTGAGAGTTAAAACGATATTGTCAGAACAAATGTAAGGCGGTGCTTTATTGTAAAGATTAAACCAAACCTAACTCCTTACAACCAGAATAGGGGGCTTGCTATAAAGCAGAGATATTTCAGGGCGTCATTACAAATAGTGTTGTTTAGTACAATTCTGAGGGTTATAAAAAGCATGACAAACCAGGGTTATATCTTATTAATCATAGTTAAAAACAATAATAATAACCATAATAATAATATTAATTATAACTAGTAATAGTATTATGAAAAAATAGTGGCAGTGTCGTTTCTTATATTTAAAGACTCCTTACTTTATTAGCAATATTCATTTCTATAAAATTGCCAATTTTATTAACAAAGAGCTCCTTATATTGATGAAGAAAAAGCACTTCTAGCTATTGTAATAAATATAACGTAAAGTAATAACGCTCGTAACAGTAGAAATATCTAGTTAAAAAGTTACGGTTTTTTAAAACGTTCAAGGCTTTAAGAAGTACTTAAAGTTACCTGTATTACTAGGGAGTTAAGAAGAGTTATCGCAAAAAATATTCCTGTTTACCTTTCACAATTTGTTAAATAAAATGCGTTAAATAAACGTTTAACTCTATAATTAAAAGAGCAATCGAGTTTTTCAACACGTAGTCAAACTATGCCTTTTATTTGAAATTTTATTAGTAAACTTTTGCTGATCAGCCAAAGGTCAATATATTATTGTAAGTGTAAGCTAAAAAGAAAATTTTTCTTCATCCCCTGAGGAAAATTTTATTGTGTGACAATATTAAGTTCTGAAATTAAGCCCAAGAAATGATATAATGCAAATTAAAAAAAAATATATGTAATAGGTACCTCGACTGCCGACTTACAAAATTTATACTCACTAAAAGTAAGGTAATAAACTATTATTAGGTGTAATTAAAACTTATTTTGGTAAATTAACATAAGCTTAATATAGTTCGTATTTACTTGACAAAACCTTATTGAGAAGCTTTGGCGCTCATTGCCGTTCGTCGAAAAAAGAATAACCTTTGTTTGCAAATTTAAATAATAATACCAATGATTCAGAAATGAAATAATTTCATTTAGTTTTTGGTTTGTCTAGCCTACTTTGGAAATAACTGCTTCAATTTTTGGACTTTTATGAGCTTTACAAAAAAAAGTTCAAATAAAATCTTTTTATATAACAATTTTTTATAGCACATTTATATTCACACTAAGGTAGCTTGTGTCCTTAACCCTACTGGAGGTTTTCAACAATATTTCAATAAATAGTTTAGGAACGGTTTGTTTGTCCCCTAATAAAATATAAAATTAACTTGCATAAACTTTGCAGATGTAATTACGTTGTGAGGGGAAGACTGTATATGCGTTAATTGCAGTAGCAGTGTTGCTACTTTTACTAAAAAATTTTTTCAAGCCTAATAAGTTCTGATAAGTTATTTTTATAAATTTTAAATGAGAAAAAATATACACTTAAATTATCCGTACTTAAATAGACTGGCAAACGCAGTTTTTTATATGCAGTTCCTTCACTTAAAGTTAACTACAAAAAATTTTAAGTTTTTATTAATTACAGCAAAGTGGATGCATCAGCACTAGTAATAAATACGATAGTAGAGTGGTCGTTGTCTTGCGTGAAAGGTGCCGTACGGAGAGCCATAAAGTTTTGTACACTTAAGTCTGCCTCAAAGTAAGCGGAGTGAGTTATAATTTGTTTGTTTACCGCCAAGTAAATGCATAACCTTAATTTTATCTGTAGACACTATTTACTAGTGGTATCCCAAACCAACATTTCTTGTTGAAAAAAATCCCATGGGCGCTGCCTATAATATATATATATATATATTACTATTTACTTTGAGGTATATTTACTTTATAATAGTTAAAAAGCAACATTTTGGAATCATTCAAAAAGTTAACGTGAAAAGTGAATCCCCCCACGGGTTTAAACCTACACTTACAACCAATAGACTTAGAGAACTATAAATTGAAGTGGTCCTCTCCTATTCCTTTCTACTAAGCTATGTTTGTTTTCATATTAAAAAATGGATGAAGAATATTATTTTGATCAAAAGAGAAAGAAACAGACGAAACACCAGTCAATTTATGGAATTTTTGCTGAAGATGTTAATGAAGAAGAAGCTCCACTTCACCTTGGCTTGGGTTACCTTTTTCTTGGATCTACTATATATTTAATTACTTTTTTATTTATTTTAAACTTACTTTCAATTTTTTATTAAATACTAACCATATATTTTGAAACTTTAATTTAATATAAGGCGCTAAGTCCTACTCAATTGTGAACTCGTCAAAAGGTATACTGTTTAATATATACTTTATATGAGGGTTTTTTACTCTACATAAATAAGGTTTGAACTTTGTATCAACTGGTTCAGAAAAACTTGAGGTTTCTTTAAGTATAATTTATATATAACAAGAAAATATATTTATTTAAAAGATCGATAAAGAATTTGGAAAACATGGAAAGGAAAAAAAATTAACTAAAGACTCACATTTTCAAGATTCCACGGTTTCTTTGGAACCGCTCACTTTTTCATCAACTTCCACAATTGATCCATTTTCAATGAGCTGCTGGTTGCTATTATTTAAGTTATTCAATAAATTAGTTTATATATATATAGTTTTTTTAGCTTTGAATATTTTAGTTTAGTTTTTATTATTAGCGACATTAATATTTCCACATTTATATAATTTAAATTTTTTAAGAGTAAACTTATTATATCACCACCCTAATTTTTATTTCATTTGTTTGATTTTTTTAAAAGAAATTTTTTTAGCAATTTTTTTAGGCGCAAGTCTAATAATGCCGACACAATGAAAGAAGTGGATTTGCCTACGCAAATGGATCCTAACTTTGCTGCATGGACAAAGCACACTAAAGGAATTGGTGCTGTTTATAATTTGATTATAGTTACTTTTAATATTATGTATAATATTTGTTATTTCTCTAATAATGAAAAAGAAGATATATCTATTGTTAACTTTAGAGTAATGTTGTTATGAATTAATTTTTTACACTTCATTTTTATCTATAATTATTTTGAGTTGTATAAAGTTAATAAAATTTTGTATTTAGTTAACCTTATTATAATGCTTATCTATATAATATCTTTGTTTATAACTAAATAAAGATAATTTAATTTTATAATGTTAACTTTTGGCAGATTTTAATATGTTCAATATTTTAATATTTTTTATTCTCATACCTCTAATATAAATTAATTATCATTGTTCACATTTAGCAAACATCTTATTTACTATAACAAAAGTTCAGTACATAAAATTTGTAGAAATTAATCTGTGCTTTTTTAGGATTAAAGCTTCTTCTTAAGGAGGGGCATGAGGTGGGCAAAGGTTATTAATATGTATTTCTAAAGTTTTTATTATTTCTTTGTTATATATTATGTAAATATATTTTTTTATTAATAAAAATTTATAATAAAAATATTTTATTCTGGTATTCTACCTTATATTAATCTTTAGCTAAAATTTAAATTAATTTATTGTGCACTAGGTCTTGGAAAAGATAAAACAGGGATTGTATATCCACTTCAAGCGCAACTCCGGGAAGGCAAAAGCACAGGGCTTGGTTATGCCGCTCAAGACAAATCTTACCAGAAAGAACCTCTAGAACTTCCCGTTTATCATTGTTAATTTTATATTATTATTATTTATAATATAAATTTCTTTAGAAACCACAAGGGATCCCTTCTTGGAAGAAAGGAGCATCATGTGAGCCGCTTTCCCACATGCATGCGTATAAAACGCAGAAAAAATCACGTGGGTTGCTGCATCCTGATTCGTCGTTCCGCAGTGTTACTTACGAGCAAGTGCAGCGGCAAACCAAAGTTATTGACATGCGTGGCCCACAAGTATATAGTTTCTTATGCAGTTTATTATGAACTATAATAATAATAATAATAATAATAATAATAATAATAATAATAATAATAATAATAATAATAATAATAATAATAATAATAATAATAATAATAATAATAATAATAATAATAATAATAATAATAATAATAATAATAATAATAATAATAATAATAATAATAATAATAATAATAATAATAATATATAAATAAAGATACGAGAATTTACAAACTACCATGAAATGTCTAAAGCAATAAACCACGAGACTAACGACTTTGGTTTTTTTTTATAACTACTTTTTACTTTTTATTATCTTTTTATTTTCAGATGGAGTGAAAATGTCTTCTGTTTCATTTCCGGAACTCAAGCATAATTTGCGACTTCTTGTGGATATATCCTGTAACGATTTGGGAGAAGTTTATTATTATTATTACTATTACTATTACTATTCCTATAACTATTATTATTGTTGCTTCATAATAAAGATTGAGTCCAAAATTACTATGGAAGAAGATTCGCTTTATCTTTTGAAAGAAGAGGTACTGCTTTTACTTTGATTATAAACTTTTCTTAATAAAATTCCATTAAGATGAAAAAACTACAGAAATTTTCTTTGAAGGAAAAAGAAAAACTCACTAAATTAATCGAAATTAAAAACATGATTCACCAGTACGAAAACAGCACGAAAACTTTAACAGAAAAACTTAAATTGGAAAAGTGCGTCGCGCTTTTTCATTCGTTGCAGAACACTTATTCACGAGAGTTCGTGGCTTATGATCTCACCGGATTATGCTCCGCACTGGTCTATCCTCTGGTTGGCCCTTTTTCTCCAACGTGTTATTATTTTAATTGTATTTACTTGCTTTCAGGGCATTGGTTCCTTTTTTTATATATGTTAGGTTAAGAAAAAAAATCATCAATCAACCATAATTTGTTTTTTATTTTATCACTAATAAATTTTTATACCTTTACTTGAAACCACGTACTTTTTAGGTTCAGGAGCACCTGGCAGCGTGGGAGCCACATGAGAAGCCCAAATATGGAGTTGAGATGTTTTTGTTGTGGAGGGAAATTCTTCTCCCGCCTACTTCCGTGGAAGAACTCGCTTTACAGTAAGTTGTTCACTTTTATTATTTTAGTTAAGTTTTAGTAAAGTTTATGCTAAAAAGTTATATTTATTTACTCGTTAGCAAACTTTAACAAACAAAAAGTTTTCAAGTTGACTATTAGGTATATTTTCTTTAGTAAATAGTTTTTTTTATTTAATAAAGCAATCGTGAAATGCATGATTACGAGCGAATGTTATGGGACTTGTGGTTGCCCCGAATAAGAGATGTATGTATTGTTGTTATTTTATTATTATTATTATGTATATTTTACTGTAAAAAAGAGTGTTGATCTTTGGAATCCTCGCGATTATAAAAATAATAAAATCCTTAAACTTTTTGAAAAATGGAGAGATGTTATTCCTAATTGGCTCTTTCATTACACATTGGATCACTTGGTTTTTTCCAAACTTTGGCGCGTATTATTAAATCTTTAGAGAAACTATTGATAATATAAAGAAATTAAGCGTGTGATCATATTTCTTACGTTGTAATTTATACATTAATATATACCGGTAGTGATGAGGTATTGAAGTGGAATCCGTTAACTGGTAATCATTAAATATATAGTGATATTAATAGTAATCATAATAATAATAAAAGACTATTTACCACTTCATTTGTGGCTTCTGCCGTGGATTCCGCTTATGTGTGACCGCATGAACGCCTTGTACCAGCCCATTCAGCAGAAACTCTCCAACGTAAATTATATATTTTAACTTTTTTTATTATTTTCTTAATATCTCTTTAGGCGTTAGAATACTGGAACCCTTCCGATCAATCCGCTCACGCCCTTCTATCCCAGTGGAAAGAAGTCTTTTGACGCATTTGTGACAGTACTATTACAAAAATTCACTCTTTTTCTTTGCTACTGTATAGATATTTCCGCCGAAGGACATGGAGCGCTTGTTGCTGCAAAGCATCGTTCCCAGGCTGCACAAAGCTCTCATGGGATTCGTTATTAATCCCAGAAACCAGACCCATATTGGTTCTTTCACTCTTTGTTGATAGCTGTTGGCTGATAGTTGACCAATTATAAAAATATCAATAAATACAGACCTGTTCCGCAGTGTTATGCAGTGGCACGACATTGTTCCCGCGAAGCACATGTGTCTACTGCTAGAGCATGAGTTTTTCCCCAAGTGGACTTCCGTTTTGGTTAACTGGCTTAACTGCACTCCGAACACTGAGGAAGTGGCCAACTGGTTGGTTATAATTTATTTTATAAGTATTACTTATGCTTTTTTATTTTATATTAATATTTTATTTCATATCTACACTTTTGAGGTACGTTGGCTGGAAAGCGATGATTCCCGAACAACTTGCTGTTCATGCTCCCATTCAGAACCGTTTTCGCACAGCCATCGAGTGCATGAATGCTGCTGCTTTGGGCAAGCCAGTACAAATGGTACCGTTCTTTATATTTCATGGTTTATTACAAAGTTATCCACATCTTTCTAGCCTCAACATACCATTGAGAGCTTCAAGTATTTTGAAGACGTGCAAAAACAGTTGCGCTTTTTTTATATTATTATACATATGTATTACTATGAAATATAACAGAGAAGACGCAAAAGTGAAGCTTATGAACCAAAGAAATAAAATTCTAATGCAAGATCATTCGTCCAACATTACCTTCACCGATGTCATATCCAAAATGGTATTTAATTATTATTCTTAATGCTTTTATTAATTAATATTTTATAGGCCGAACGGAATGATATTCTTTTCCGGCCGCTTGAAAAGTTTAAAAATGGAAACAAACTATATATGTTTGGTATTTTTCCTATTTATATAGAAAGGTTAATTATTTTTTTTTTAACTTTCTATTTTATTAAGTAAAACTAAGCTATAATATTTTTATACAGAAATGTTGTTTTTGTGCAAGAAAATGAAACTTTTATTCCCGTTGCTGTTGATAAGTTGATTGAAAAAGTAAAAAAAACATAACAAAAGTCAAATCGCAATTATGCTATATTGTTTAAAAGGGCCGTTTTTATTTCTATTAAGTTACATAATAAATTTAGTAAAGCGTTGAAAACAGTAAGGAAAAAACATGCCAACCATTAACACCTCAATAAATAATATAATAATGGGTGTAAAGCCAGTAAACCTAACCGCTCTAACAAAGTTTACGCTGTTTGCATTTACATTTTTACAGGGACGCGTCAAAAAAAAATATAATCCCAAAATCTCTTTTACTAAAGGAACAAATAATAAATTCAAATCGTCTTTTCGCAGGAAGTACCTTAATATCTAAGATTGGCGAAATACTTAAAAATGGGGCAACTGTAAAAATAGTTTTTTTAAGTGAACTTTTCCCTGGTTAGCATTCCATCAAGTCTTTCTCGATATGATGTAACATTTAATTAAACTTGGCTTTTTAGAAGTTAATATATATTTGAACTTCTATAATAGGAAATGGTTATTTGGTAAAAAAATTAACCTTTTATAATAAAGTTAACGAAAAAAATAATATTCCTTTATTATTTCGGTTATATAAATTGATACTAGCATTTCACCCGAGCAAATATTGATAGAAGCACCTTAATGATTATTGTAATTTTTGAAGAGAAAAAGGAATAGATAAATTAAGTAAGGTTTTTAAAATAGTGCTATGTAGTGAAATAATTTTGCTGACTTAAACACCGCAATTTGTATTACTGCTTATAATGATAATTCATTATTATTAAATAGCTTCATTCTGCACTTCTACTTCCACTGACAAATAAGCTTTGAAAATTATATACAAGAAAAGAGGAATTAAGAAAGTGCTCTGAAGCAAGCATTTATACTTTTAGACTGCTCGTCAGACTTATGAAACTATCAATTAACCTTATTGCAAAGTCTCTCCTAGAGTATGCTACTAAGAAAAGGATTGGACGTCTTTCGAAGATATTGGTTCCAGAATAAAAAATTTATATCCAATTTCAATATTGTTTAAACTAAGTTTAACAGTGGACTATAACTTAAAAACGATTTATTTGAACCAACTATTTCAACGAATAATAAATCGGGTAACATTTTTTTAAAACAGAATTTAAATTATTGCAACTAAATGTTTTAGACTAATCCGAAAGCTCAAAATAAATTTTATTAAACCAAATAAAAACGCGACCTGCTAAAATAAGGCGTTACCTGCTATTGCATGTTGCGTTGTTAGCAGGGCTAGGATAGTGTTGTCAAGACCTAAAGTCCTCAGTTTGAATTTCCCATGGTCGGTTCTATTATACAAATTGTGATTTTATATGTTAGGTTTTCTTATGGATCTTTAAAGTAGTTACTTTCTAATTTGTAAGTTTTTAATTTTTTTCTTTTATGCAAATTGCTGTGCATTAATAATATCTTAAAAAGTTATGTATAATATCTAACAGACCAAAAATTTACATGCTTTAACTTAGTAGGAAAAAGTAACTAAAAAAACTTTTTTTTTAAAATTATAAATTTATTTATAAACAGCAGCAGGGAAATCCTAAGGCTATTTTTTTGTTGGTTTTAAAAAGTAATGAAAAGTTAAATTTTTTTTTAACACTATTGTAAGTATAGTAATAGATTATTTTTTATCATATTTTTTAGTCAGAAGAACTTTTTGCACAAGGCCATATAGATAACTTTCATACTAGTTAAGGGACGGCCTTCTTTTGGCATAGAATAAAATATAAGCAAATGCCACATGTAAAAATAACCAGTTTTGTTATATTTTTTAAAGTCTAAAGAACAGCTTTTCTTTATTTGCGCAACTTCTGCGCTGGTACAATCTTCCCTTCTACAAGAAATATGTTCTATAACAATTAGCCCCTCAAGTTCATCAATACTTAAGTTTTCGAGAGTAAGGACTGATGTCTCAATAACGTTTCATAAATCGTTATTCTCCCGGAAAAGAAAAATACCTTTGAGCTTTGCTCCTCGAAAAGAGTGTTTTTGCGTTGCAGATGTTATTAATGAAAGTTGAGGCCCCTCTTCTCCGACACTTGGGGCATTCAGAGAACTCGTCGAAAACTTCATTTCCTCAGTCAAGCAAACACCACAATCAACAATTGAAAAAAAGACCTTTTTCGAGTAGGAAATATAATTATGTTGCCTACTACGAAGCATAAAGGGGGGGAAACACACCCACTTTAACTTTATTTAACGGCGCTAAAGCTTCCCTTATGTATACGCCAAAATAGTGGCATTTACCCCCGACAATGTGGATGTACAGCGTTGGGGCTATTTGGTTATCAGGGTCTTCTAAAACACCAGTACTAAAGTTAGCATATGAGTTAATGTTAGGAACCCACTAAAGTTGTTGGATTAGTTTCATGAAGAAAGTAGTAAAATTAGTATTGGTGTTAGGTGGTAAATTTTCGAAGTAAGAAGCTAGTTCCACTCTGGCCAGTACAAGATTATAAGGATAATAGCTTTTGATTCTCGAATAAAAAACTAGAGACCCAGATACTACGATGAAAGTAGCAAAAATAACCTTACTATCTGGCATAGAGTTTTCTCTACTATAAGGTAGGCCTAGCTAACAGATCGAAGCAACGTGAACTAAAATAATGTCATTAACCATTATACTTATTACAGGTGCTTTTTTAACCTCAAGGTAGGGTGGGTTTGTCACATTTTAAATAAAATTATGGGTAGCAAAATAAATAGAGCTTTTTTTTCTTTAGTGTCTGTTAAGCTCTATTTTACATATCGTGCGGTGTTATATAAAAGTATTTTTGTTCAGCTTTGTAACGAGTAAAGCTTGGAAGTTTATTGCTAGGGTTGAGGAGAGATTGCGATATCTAGTAAATCTTGCAGCTTCCACTTGGTCAATAGTTTTTAAAATCGTGTAAATTTCTAACAAACGATTTTTTAAACTGAAAAAAGTTTTATTGATTTACTTCCATGTTCATCTAGCGTAGACGTTAAGTTTACCTACTAAGGTGAGTTGACTTTTTTAAATATTTAGATTATTCAAAATGAAAGTATAGCCGTTACTACCACGTCTGAACGCCCTTTGAAGGTAAGAACAGCTTCAACCAAACCAAAATTTGTTAGTTATAAAACCATTTTTTTTGCAAGAATATTGGGCGTGTTTGTGTTAATTTTTTAATTCTTTAATTCCTTATATTTTTAAAAGCCCCTTTGAGAAGTTATACTTTTTAAAAACGAGTTTACTGAAAATAGAGAAAGCCTTTGGGCAGTGGTGTGCCAGGGAAGTTATGTTAAACAAAGAAAATTATAACTTTTAATATAGCTCCATAATAAATATTGACGCCATTATAGGAGTGCTTACTTTTTGAAGACTGGAGGGGTTAACTTTAAATATTTTTAAAAAGAGCGTCAGACCGCACCGAAAGAGTGGAAATAGATAATGTTTATCATAATTAAAGAGTTGACCTTTTATTTGGTGGCAACAATGTTTACAGGGATTGGTTGCTTTTAATTTTTTGTGTAAACAAGAATATGAGTTCGCTCCATGAGAGTGAATTTTAAGATTTAACCCATTTTGTTGAATTTAATAAAATTGTGGCTGAAGTTAATAAGCCTTTTCAAATTCTAACAGCTGAAGGCATGGTTATTGATGTTGGGCAGCAAAGAATAAAGGTGAAAATACATAAGTTGTTTCAGCTTTTTAGTAACTCTGCTTAAAAAGAATTTAAATGGTTTTTTTACCCTACAAAGCTATGAGAATAAAAAATGTTTAAGCTCTACAGAAGAGTTGGAGCTAGCAATCTACAAGCTTCTAAGTGTGTCATAACATGGATTCATGAAATTGAGTAAAGTTAAATTTTTGATTTTACTTAGTAATACTGAAAATTTAAAAAAAAAATTGTCAAAGAATATAAATTGTTTATCAAAACTAATCTAAAATAATTTTTAAAATTTAAAAACTAAAAAAATTTAAATTGATATTACTTTAAAAATTAAATATAAATATGACATTTTATATATAACTAAAAATAAAATGAGCAATAAGTTTTTAACATTCTTCAAAATTAAAATTTAAAATTTTTTATTTAATTAAAAAATTAAATTACAATTATGAACAAATTTTTTTTTTTACAATTAATTGGTTATAAATAATTTAAAAATTGAAGATAAAATTATTATTATATATATAAATTAAAACATGAAAATAAGTTTAAATAAGTTAATTGATTATTTTGCTAAATTAATTTTGTTTCAAAATAAATTTTTTTAATTTATTGTAATATTTATTTTTAAAAAATAGTTGAAATAAATAAAATAAATATTTAACACAAAAAATATTAATATAAATTTACACTGTAATAACTAGTAATTTAATAAAATTTAATTTAGCGTGGCGAAATATAATATATTTGTTTAAGCGAGAAGATCTGCAGCGCTAATGCAAATTTTCCCTAAAAATTTTCTTATATAAAAAAATAATTAATTAAAAAAATTCACATATCCAGCCGGTGCGCTAGCCATAGGCAAACAATGCTTTTTTGATAAATAGTTGAAAAAAATGCACTTAAAAATGCAAGTGAAAAAAAAAGTTAATTTTCATTTAACATGTCAACTTTGCAGCTTAAAAATTTTAATTAGAGTTTCTCAATTCCCAGTCGCAATTTTTTTTTTAAAATAATTTTTACATAAATAAAAATAGAAATATTACTCTAAGAAATTTAACATAATTAGCACTAGCGAGGTCGAGGCTGTTAGCACTTGCCAATTGCTAACTTAATAAAATCTGCACAATCGGGAAAAATTGGAGCAAAAACTTTAAAATCCCAATGTTCGAAAATGACAAGCAGTCGCATTTATTTCACTATGCGCTTTCTTCTTGGTCGCGGCATACATCTCTCCTTTATATACTTATATACCACTATCTGTGTGAAGTTAAATTCGGAAGGTTTAAAGGTTTAAATACCCTAATATGGAACACTAGGCTTTAGGGTTTACGATGAAATATTTTACAAAAAGTAACATCGTGATAGTTACAGAGGTGCACA